ATCACAAATATTGCGACGGGTTGAATGTATATTTACGTTCTTTAAAGTACGATTTCATGACTGAGTCGTTTTGAACAATAACACAATGGGAAGTCGTAAGCTATCATTTTTCAGAGATTTTAAGGTAAATTCCCGAAGTGTAATGAAGAGCGAAACCTAAAAAAGTGACTGGATTGTTCACGAAGGTTGTGATATCAGAAAATATGTGACTTAACAAACATTAAAAAGTCAAACATTTCAATGTGTTGTTTTATTTAGTATTGAAGATTAAATGTCAACCAAACTCTTAGATGTGAGTCACTGAGAGGTGACGTTGACACAAGTAAACAAACATTTACTTGGCCCAAGGTAAACGTCGGGTCAAGTGATAAGCAAGATATTAAAATCTGTCAATACTTAATGGCAGTTTAAAACAAACAAATGCAACTTTTACTAGCAATTTTACTTCCTAAATGTAGCAATTAAATAAGCGATCCAACATTAACGCCTGTTTCTTGGTTACCTTCGTTCAATAGTAGATGTGTAGGACTTAGTCAATATCAACTTTTTCTCTACACGACAATTGATTAATGCACCAAGAAAAGAGCAAAAACCTCCTTTTGTTCGTTTTATGAGATACGTATATCCCATGCCGTTGTTGATTCTAAGACATTTCAACTCACTATGAGCTATCAACGAAATCGAATCAATTGATTTAATGGCTTTTTATGTGATGATAGATGGGAGAGGATAAATTGATTTTAAAAAGGTTAAATTCATCAGTTTTCACCAGCCGAGTGCCTTTCCGTCAAAACATAGACTTTGTTGACCCAACCTATTTTATCACCAGTTAAACTATTGCATGGGTAGGCACAGAGAAGAGTCGCCGCGCCGTCGGCCTGAATCTCGAAGGATTTCAAATGAAATCATTGGAACAATTTCCTAGTGCAATTTTGTTTATTAATCGATCGTCAGAACCTGACTAGTAGAGTTTCTGTATCTTTTTAGATTTTTCACTTTTTTCCTTATTGGACCATCAGTTCTTTACGCCATATGAAACCCTAATTCAAACGTCAATAGTAATAATAGACAAGTTTGCTCAGTCGTACAAAGAGATGATGTACATTTGTCGGTCGTGTCACCTGCGGGTGTTCAGGTTATTTTGGATGGCTGACAAAATGCCGGGGACATCTCCAAGAGTAATTTGTACGAGAAATACCTGTTCTTGTGCGAAGTCATGTCAATACAAATACAACACTTGTGTGCAGATGGCTTTCTTTAACTGGGCTTGAAGAGAAAGAAAATTAGTTATCACGTTTGTCAGTTTGGATATCCTAACGTGTTTATACGGTCGATTGAGATAACGGTAAATAAGGTAATCAACGTCAAGGGAGATACAGCGATCACGTTTCTCCGATTTAAGTGCCAAAGAAGGTTTCTCTGCTCGTGCGCTTTCCCACCTGTCCCTTCCTGGATCTGTGGCCTGTATTAAGTGAGGCAACACAGGTAGCTTGTAGAAGGACCTGTAGGGGTAGGGGATTCAGAAACAATCAAAATTAGAAACATTTGGTACTTGTTTAAATATTCCTTATTGTATCGTAGGTATTCTTATATGGATGGAATTAAGAGCACCTTTCTAAACAGCGCCGAAGGCTTATTTTCATTAACAACAATTGTGCTAATGAAAACAGAACTGTGTACCTTTAACAGAAACAATACGACCATTCTCATCTCGAATTTTATAAATATAGTTAAGACACCGTTTAGGTACAGCCGAGCTTCCATAGTCAGAAGTTAAAGGTTTTTTTCTTGATATTTCCTTAAAACTTTAAAGCAACGATTGGAATTTTGTGATCATAGAGAGAGAAAGAGATAATACGCATTGGGGTGCGTGCTCGATCAGGATGATAAACTATTGATGACGGCCCTATTGAAGGACGGAGCACACGCATATGGCGATTTTCACAGTAATATGAAAGCGATAACAGTCAACCATAAAGTCGAGTATGAGACGAAAATTTAATTGCTTTTAATTGACAAAGATAAAGTACACCTTAAAAGGCGAATTGGACGAATAGTAATGCATCAAGATAAGGCGAGTTTTGTGGCTGATTGGTGTAGCAGGACATTTAACGTTCTGGAGGTACAATATTATGGTGGTTTTGAAGAGTAAATAAGGTGAAGTGACATTGTGCGTTACGGGAATAGTTTTGAAAACCTGATAAAAACCTGTATTGATGGAGTATTCCACGCAAATGATCAGCACCAATGCCTTCAATCAGTCACATACTTATCAAGGAAAACCTACCATAGTATAGATATAGCCTTTGCCATATATTATACCGGTAGTTATCCGGGACTCTCGATCTCTGATACCCCTCCTGACCCGTGACACTGAACTCTCTCAATACAAGATTGGACCCACATTATCTATTTACCTGTAAAACTTGGCCATGGTGACTCATCTCGAGCATGTGCCGAGATATAAACACCAGAATCCAGAATTATGAACCGAGGTGGGGCCTTCAGCGGTGATAAAACCAATAAAACTTGATTTAGGGTGAGTCTGGGACAATGGAGATATGTTTTATGGTGTTTAGGGTGAAGTAATTGGAGTCCTAGCTGAAGAGTGAAGATCCCTTCTCTGTATATTCAAGCACGTATTTGATGTTTACTTATTAGTGACAGTTTGATTTCATGGTTTAAGAAGTGATTTTATTCAGATATGACTCTCTCACTGAATAATGATAATTATCAATCTTAAGTACTTGTATGGAGATAAAATAGGTATTAATGCGGCATTTCACGTTTTTTAAAGAAAAGTATCTTGGGTAGAGGTACATATATCAATTAGTGTAATTCTCGGTGGTGATGCACTCTTCATTCCGTGTGTGGCAGTAAACCATTTAAAATCGCAGTAAAGATTCTTCATGCTGGTCTAATTTCCTCTGACTTTTCACTACCATCATCGTGCTGACATGTAGCATAGGTCACTGATATGTTATTAATATCAGTATGTAACATCTGTGGACGTTTGTGTATCTGTCTCACCGATGAGCTTTATACCTTTTGTAGGTTAGTCATTGAAAATTAAGTGGGTTCCACGATATGACTAGCCAGAAGGAATCGATAACGTTATCTTTAGCTGAAGTTTGATTACGCTTATTATCATTACGTAAAACACAATGTTCTAGGTTCACACGTTTAACAAGGTCCTTATGGCGGTCTTTCTACTTTTGATATAGCATGACTTAAGAGTATGTATTTATAACATTAAATGTCGTCATTATATAAAGATGGTGAATAATTCATGATCTTCAAAGACATGCAATTCAGCTTGAGGCCATTGGGGTAGGAAAATAGAAAACATCGTCGAATTTTCGCGCTACGATCGTTCATGTAATACATCACTTCTTTCAGGATAAGTCACTTTTCACATTTCTACAGGACGTCGCCTATACACAGACAGCATTGCACATCACCGGCCAGACAGTGATTTATTAATTATCCATTTGTTAGATTCTCCAAAGCGGAAGGAAGAAAGGGTCAGATTATCCTATCTGATTATTGTGCGTCGTACCACAGAGCGCAGTCCGCCCATACAGCAAGGAATTCACTGTTTACATCAACTTTGAATTAAATATTGACAAGTTAACGGATTAAAACATGACTGTTGTGATTTTTACAGGGCAAAATGGGATCTAAGAAAGTGGTCAGCTCGCTGGAAGACTGTATGATATGGATACAGCAGGAACAGGTGAGTACGAGAGAAATCAATGAATGCTCAGGTAACCTGTTAATATGACGGTTACCCCGGTGTTAATGGCGTGCTGGCTATGGACAGGTATGCAGTGCTTATGTTTTCATGGGAAGTTTTCATGAGTGAGCGTTGTGACAGTGTGGTTGTTTGGGGGGGGGGGGAGATCTACCCTGGGGCCAGTCGTGAGATGTGAACATGGATGCAGTGTAAATGTTAAGCCGGGCTGTTAGCAGAGAGTACAATGCATGGAGACGGTGTAAATGTAAATGTAAGCCTGAAGGCGAGCTTTTTGCTGTGCGCGTGACGACAGTGTTGTTTAAACGGATGCTTGCTCAAAGTTATAGTTCTCAGTATTAATAATGAAATATCTTAAAGATGAGCTTGATTAAAGTAACCATAGAACATGGTTTTAGTTCATTCGAAAGTCTAAAGGGATTGGGGTGATTCGTTTTGTCAAAGGCGTTGCTATTTGTAACGTGGTGGTCAGTTTTTTTCCATCGTTCAAGTGACTGTGTATGTGCTGGTGTATGTTCGCGTGCACCAGTAACCATCAAAATTACTCCACGGAAGGACCATATTTGGTCACAGCAACTGTGATATTAGCATGACTGTTTGCACCCTGGTCACCTTGTATGAATGACATAGTTCAGCCATAACCTGTCTTCATAATTCTTACAATGCACTGCACTCCTTACCATAAAAACGTTATTTCTCCCCAAAAAACATTTTGTTTGACCTTAAATCAGCTTCAAGCCAAATTCCCAACATTTGAACACCCGGCTAAATCACCATAATGTCATCTTGCACGAACATTTTGACCGACATTGTTGCCGCTTTAATACATTCTCCCCGAACCTCCGGGTGTTAAGGGTGGGAATCGTAATAAGTCACCGATAAATAATTCGATAGGAACTAAAATTGAACGTCCAAGATTACCGAATCACTATCAAAACAATGTAGTGACATGAGAATGTGGACGCAGGTATGATATGCCTAGACAGTAAAATATGCGACAGTCCTCCTTTTACGAGGGACATGTGATAGTTATATTATACACAGTGTGTTAAATATTCACCTGGGACTGGCTGTGCTGAGACATTTGGTCGTGTGAGAGGACTCCTTCTATTCAAGTACACGTCTAATAGGTGTGATAAGGATATCATTTGCTTAAGTTTCAGGTAAGCTTTACATTTTACAGAACAATTAGATAGTTAGATATACAAGTGAATGGATGTTTTATAATGGTATATGAATACAGTCTAGCCTGCGTATGCCGTACCTGTGCCATGCAGCAGAGCGTTCATATGAGAGGACATTAACAGTGACACCGATGATCTCCCCTTCATATGAAAAGTTTTAATACCAGAGAAAAGTCACATTAAAGTTCTGTAGGTCCATTTACATACCTGGTGCAAAGTATTTAAAGACGGACATTCTAGGTCTTTTTTTCCTTTGTATTCTCATGTTACCTAAAACGTAAGAGGAGGGGAAGTGTTAGGGGACAGGACCCGTTTACTAACAGGCACAACGAAATCTAACCAATCAATACGACGGAAACCACTGTGTTAAACAACGCGTCGAAAACTGCTACTTTTTGTGATAAAATCAGACACTCCAGTGAAAGGTGACAGTATCACTGACCCGTTAATGACATTAGTAAAGCATTTTTTTGCAGTGACATATGTATGTCTGGAATAATGACCAGTGCACGGTATATTGACAAGATAATACCTGACCGCCAGTAACTTGACAGTTTAAAAAATTGGGGGTATATGAGGGACATCGTTAAAAAAGGATATATAATAACAATCAGAAGGATGTGGTGACAGGTACTGAAATTTCAATGGTTGCTTGTCAAGTGGGCCTAGAAACGAAAGTGGGAGGGTTTTTTACTTCTTTAAAGATCGTCGTATTCTGACAGAGATGGCTAAGAGCGTGACGAAAATGCACTATTTGATGAAACGATGTAGTAATTATTTCGTCTTAGATAAACTGATGTTCGACTGTTGTTCGACTGATTTGAGTTGCATAAATAATTGACATTGCATACACTCACTGTAGATATTTTATAAAAAATCCCTCAGGGAGGTGCTCGTTGGTTTAAAAACGGAACTGTATTATTTCCTGCATGAAAACGAGGGCATTTTTTAAAAAAGTTATATATACCACTTCAGAGGAATACCGACAGCACCCGGAAACTTAAAAAGAGAATTCTGTATTAATACCGAAATGCGTGGAAAGCAGCCGTGTGTACTTTAACGATAGTTGCAAACACCCCGTGGCGTCGTCATATTTCATTAAGTTGAACTGTTGTTTCGGTCAGTTTTTTTTTTTTTTTTTTTGGCAGTTATAGATATCTGTATATTTGCAACTGGGTGATTGATGAGATGTTCAACGGACTTTCCTGGTGGACTGCCATTACTGATATCTATATTTCATTTCGTCATTGACAGACTGCTACTACATTCATTGGGTCACATTTCCAGTTTCATTCACAGTTCCCGTATTTGATAACGCATTTAGGGAGCATGCATTGCCAGTATTTGATATCACATTTAGGGAGCATGCATTGCCTACGAGGCTTTGACGAGGTCGCCATACAAAGTTAAATGTTCTGTGTATCAGAAAAGATTCCGTTGTCAGTTTTTTTTAAACAAATGAACAAATTAATTTGCCTACCAGTACTTAGTCTGATATTTACATTGCTGAGCGTGCTCGTGCAGTTCAAATTGATAGACTGATGTCTGTAAAATCAGTTGATGTTAAGCATGATTGCTTTGGACACTGCTTTACACTCCTCAGACCACCATAGACCACCAGTAGGCATTGACAGTCCATTCACCAATGACAGTAGGGGCACAGTCAGTGGTTACATATTGAAGAGCCTCATCTTTTGATATAAGACGAAGGTCCATTTAAAAAGATAGGAAAAATGTTTATGAACAACACATTCAGATATCACAAAGTAACTATACCAAGCTCGCAGCATTCATAACATTGAGAAGTAAGAGAAAATCTAATGAAAACAGAAAACGGTAATCGCACTGTTTGTGACCATGTTCCTTGTAAATGTGACGGGGTTGGTGATAGCGATATGATTATGTGTATATATAGCATTTATATGAGATAAAGGGGTGGAGTTTAATCAGATTAGGCATACACAGGATGAATTCTGAAAACTTAAGATTAAATTTAATACTACGTAAACTATCCTGTCTAGCCTTGTGGTAAAATTGTACGCGTAAAACCGACCTCACTCTCAGAGCCTCCAGAGGCTGATGTAAATTATGATTCTTTTTTCAAAGATTTTTTTATCAACCAATGTCAAACCATGCTATTGTAATAGTGCCAGAGTTGGAACATTGGAAGCGACTAAAGATGTGTGGCTGATCTTTGTGTATCTTTGGAAATATGATAACTAGTATAAACTGGTGGTGTCACCCAACAGAGTAGAAAACTAGCACCGGAGACCTCCAGGTTCTTTTTACAAAACAAACATATTAGTTAAACGCTAATGCATACAGGTGAATATAAAACCGTTAGGAAAAAACGGGAACAACTGCACATAATAACACAGTTGGTCTCTGAGTCAAATTAGTGATTTCGGGTTACATACGACAGACCTTTTACTGACGGTTGACAGGTTTTCCCACGCCGAGGTAACGTGTTACTTCACTTCTAAATGATTTTCTTTAGGTTTTCATCATTATCGCACAGCAGAAAATATAGGTAGTTTTGAGATGACGGGCAATCACGTAGACTTGACACGTAAAACGCCCCCCTTTTGACTCTGTGCTTGCGATACAAATTTATTAGAGGGGACTTTGTTGCTAAGGAGCAAGCGCTTTGGTTGAGATGAAAATATTGCAATCTGAGATGTAACACTACAGCTAGGTTAGGTTCAGAACTGTGTCTGTACAAATGTATTTTTTCTGTTGTTTCTCGCTATATCTTCCTCTTCTGTCAAGCTCGGTGTGATTACTACACTCAGTACATTTTCCATCTTGTTAACGTACAGAATATAGTGCGGGCTTTAATCTAACTTGTCGTGAAACACGTGTACACGGTTTACCAATATTCAAGTCAGATGAAGTCCAGAGTCTACACTCTTTAAATAAAGTGCATGTTTTATGTTGGAAACGTTTTTTTAGTTTTAACTTTGAACTGTTGCAACCAGAGTCCTATACTTATTACCATACTTTTCATTATATTTATTCTGTTTTGTTTTGTTTTATTTTATTGTATTCTATTTCATATAGGGGAGGGCAGTTTCCTGTTATACAAACTATCTCCATGTCCGTATGTGGTTGTTGCTTAACGAAAACTGTGTGTTTGTAAATGAGTGTATTGCCGAGCTCGAGTGTTGTGTCAAGTTGTGCGATACATAGCGCCCTTGTTAAAATGCAGAGCAAAACGTTTTTATGTGATTTGCATCTGGAGTATGATGAATACAAACAATGGATATCAACACATGCGTAGCGAAATGCAATTTACACTGTAGGAGCAACCGGTATCTGTCGTAACTATTCACAATTTTATTACTTCATACCTCACGCCTTGTTCCTGCTTCAGGGTATGATGGCGTGTTCCCGTCGGAAAACTGCACTCATAATATTTAATATAACTTTCAGTTTAATATTGCTCGGTCATTTTATGGCTCTTCCTTTATTATCTGACATATATACGTTATTCTTTTTTAATTACTGGCACGCCCATATCTTTATTTCTGATTTCAGAAAAATTTACGGGAAGCTGCTTTTGGTAATACTTTAGTGGCATTAAAAGAGGAGACAGAGAAGCAGAGGAAGAAACATGCACTGATCACAGAGTTCAAAGGATTTATGGAGAAAATTAGGTCAAAAAAGGTGAGGAAATTGGAAGATGAACACGTTCACAGAAATCCGTTTGTTTGCAATTAATTGGATGATCATGTGACTTCTAATTACGTTAGACATAATCAGTATAGTGGACTGTACTTAGACTTTCAATATCAAAACAAATATTTCCTCTTGGATATAGGATAAAGTGTTATTATGTTGCCCAAACCTTGTACCACCGATATGCTGACAGAAGTTACCCTGAAATTAAAAGTTCGATTTTTGCCCAGTTATATAGCAGGCGAGTTTCCCGCCAGTTGACGTGAATGTCTGCCAGAATGTGAAACTCAGGGTTACGAAGTTATCACGGCAAATGCCACACATCATCTTTGCTGTGCGTTGCACTGTGTCCTGGCTATCAATTTACACAGTCTCAATTTGGTAAAAATGCCTTGTTCATCACAGTATATCAAGGTTATGTCTTGTGGTTTAACATTTCATGGAGTTTTAAGCGTGTAGTATTAAACCCATACTGCACATATTGTGGATCTTTCTCATCAGTTAGAGCCGCCTGTTATGTGAAATTTAGTCTATATGAAATCAATTATTATTAATCAGAAAAGTGATTTAATTACAAAGTGCTACCCGACCGAAAAGGCTTGTTTTCGTTCATATCAATGATTTTCGCATTTGTCAAACAAATGTTGTGATATGAGAAAGTGATCATGTTTAATTAAGTCCTTGGACCAGCGTCCGTCGTTGAGGCCCTTATCAATTGCCCACGTTAATCTTATCTGTGAATGTGTGGGCAGGATTAGCATGTTCATGTACAGTTAATTTAATTGTTGTTTGTTCGTTATTAATGCAGGCAAGGAAGGAGGTGAGTATGGTACTTGGCTAATATTGCATGTAGTGCAATTACTAATATTTTATGCGTCCAAGTGTGTGTGTGTGTGTGTGTGTGTGTGTGTGTGTGTGTGTCAAAGAGAGAGAGAGAGAGAGAGAATGAGAGAGAGAATGAGGAGTGGTGTGTTTTACTTAGAAACAACTAAGCAATCCTTGTGTGGATATTCATTCATCACAGCATCGCAGCACAAAGTCGGCATCCACACACGAATGTAATATACCCACATTTAAAATACACAAATATCAGCTTAACATTTTTACCGGCCGCTTACTGAAAAAAATACAAGAAAAACATTGAATATTTGCTGGCAGGTTCATACCGCAGCGAACCCTGTAGGGATGACTGCTGAAGTAAATGAACTGGTAACAATTAATTTCTCCACCGCCGCCACATCACGTAAGTGGCCTAGACAAGTGTTGACTCAGTTTCATGATTCCTGTTAATATTATTTCAGTACACTGAAGAAGAAGTTGGCAACATGGACACTGCGTATGATTCTCTTCTGGTAAGTTAGATTCTCTGGGTTTTAGGGCCTTTAGGCAGATAGTTAAACTCTTTGATTTTAGTGTACATGATTTTAATATTTAGGATATACTCGTAGAAACAGAGGACCAGTGGGTGCTCTTCGGTTTGCGATTGACTTTGTTTGTGGAGAAGAGGAATTGTTTGTTGGGCAGCCACTTACATATCATTGCCGCGGTTTGCTTTCATGCTCTCAGACCCCCATGGTTTCTATGTTTGGTGGTTTTGGGACGCTACAGAATGATGAAAGCAATTTCATAAACTTATAAAAAGCAACATATTCCCTGGACGTAAGTTCATTAAGTTAAAAACTGCGCCATTTGCTTAGCAGATATGATACTTTAAAGCCCACAATTACGTCGCTTCATGTGACGTAACGTTGCGTTACTTGTCGTAACGGCACGTTGTCTAACATAACGAAAGGTTTCCGGCACACCTGGCATTTTTCTGCGGTTTTAGATGTTGTTTTACATAACCTATTGCACCTGTAATGTTTAAGTTTAGTTTAGTTTATTTCACTGTAACATATGCATCCACTTGTGTGGATGAAAATGACAACATGAATACAATTTTTGTGAATATGCTATTAATGAGGAGACATAAAAGAGTCTGCTTAATTGTGTGTCACGGTAAGTGGTTAGACCAGTGCAAGTGAAACTCGTGATCATAAGTCCTTAACTGTCCCATTCGGGCCAAATTGTATCCGTTTCCCTCTCGATACATTCTCTCTCTATCTCTCCATGGCTGTATATGTTTTTTTATCATATCATGTTTCTAGTTTTCCAGCTAAGCACATACACTTCAATCATTAACCAGCACCAGCGTGTGGAAATAACAATGGTCGATAGTCTATCTCTGATATCAGAAGTAAAGGTCGATTTGCGCTACTCCCTCTTCAATGCTGCTAAACCTTCATGCAAACATGTAGCACTACATACACAGGCATATATTCTACGGTTATCATATCTGAAACGGGACCTTGAAAATCAAACCCATTAGTAGTTTGCACTATACTAACAGCGGTGTTGGATCTAAGACGCAAGTTTGTGTTCTACAATGACTTAACAAGGTGCTCGATGGAGGGCCGTAAGGCAGAATTTGAAGGCGTGGAGATCCCTGTTTATTTGACGGTGTATCACGTGTGGATCGACAATACGGTCTCAACCGGTGACTTACACGTAAGAGTCATACCTCATGAGTGACACTAACACCTTGAGACAGCCGTTGTGTTGCAGTGTTTTCTGGATACATTATGAATTTTGGGTTGTTGTCGGTGATATTTGAGTATGCCTTGTAACGTTTTGGAAGGCCTGAGTGGAGAGGGGTGAGGGGAGGAAATACGGAAAGAAGAAAAGACCGATGTTTAAACACTGAAATAAGGATATCATAATAACTATTGTCATTAACTAATATTGTTGTTTATTTTGCATAGAGTCGCTTGTATACACAGCTGTTTTGCAGACGTTTTAGAACCAACTTAGTGCAGTGCACTGAAAAAATAACCCACCCAAACAGCTAACTATGACTATAACATTAAGTCTGAAATGGCATCATTCTGGGATACCTTTAGTTTGATCGTAAATATTATCTTGTTAGTCATAGACCGCAAGAGATATAAAAAACAAGTCTGTTGATGAAGTGAGTAACTCCCCGCAGAGGACCTTGTGATGCACTTTTTTCCTCTTTGAGTGACGTGTAGCAGTGTAGTTAAGAATCAGTTCTGCTGGATTCTATCAGTTTTCTTAATCATCTAAAAACAAGACCAGGAGCTGTTGTTTGTGTGTAAGATCATTGAAGTAAATAACACGCATTCAGTTTGGATACAATTATTATTTTTCTGCTTTTGCAGAGGGAATCATCATTATTATTATTGATTTTTACCTGTATACATTGTTTTAAACTAGAATATGTTCAGTATGCGTTTTCAATTATATTTTCAGACTCTTTCACTAGAGAGACAAAAATGTTTGGAGTCCTTGACGAAAATAGTAGAAATAGAAGAATTATTTCAGGTAAACTGTCAGTACAACAATTGTAAAAATTATTTTGAAAAATATTCCATTTTAAAAGCAGTTGATCAGTGATTATAATGCAAGTCGAATTGAGTTGGTTTCACACCAGGTCAGTTGCGATAAAATACTTTTATGAATAAAACCTATTCCTAATATTTGATTACGTTTATCTCCCTCTCCCCCCCCCCCTCCTCTCCATAAATTTCACTCGGTTTATATCTCTCTCCAGAAAGTATCAGCAGAAGTGGATACAAGAGCCTTGGAATTAGTATCACAACAACAGGAGGTGAATGAGCAGATACTTTACGATGCTAATACCGCAAAAACATACCAGGTAAATACACATATCAAAAGTGAATATCACCACCTGCAGGCTCCGTGCAGCTATAAAATAAGGCAAAATACATACGTAAATTACATGTATAAATACACGCCCGCAGAGTTCATATTCATAACAAAAAACAGTTGAATTATTTACGTAGTGTAGGAAAAAATGAATATTGCAATTATCCCAGATGAAAGTATAGATCACAGAGGGATATAGTAACCATTTTGGAGCCTGATTATAAAGTAGGCGAGTTTAAGTAGCGTTTTAGGTTTTGGATAGAATGGAAGATAAGGAAAAATATAGCCTGTAGTTATAATTTATGAGGGCCCTTTAAGACCAAAAATGAATGCCCTTACTTTGTATTTTCCCCCCAGAAATCAAAGCATTTTTGTTTATCATTTCAGTCCTGCATGGGTGCAGTTAAGAAGAGCTGGAGCTGGTTGTCTGATCTTACCTGGTGTATGGAGGTGCATGAGTCACATGCTGCAGAATATCACAAGGTGAGTTCGTTCAAACGACCTGACACGATAATAATACGCCGCGCTACACGACCATGTTTTCAGTGCGTCATGCTACGTGACGTGACGTGACGCTACGTTTCCAATACGAAAAGCATTTTAAGCATAATAAAATCTGTTTGCATTTTCTTTAAGCCTTCTGTGAACTAAATATGTAAAAGTAAATTAGGCAACAGTTGGTAAGAAATCCCAGGACAGTGAAATACGTCAAATCAGAATTTGCAATAAAGTGCAAACGACTGAAAAAAAATGGAGAGGCACACGCTTTTATTATCGACTGGATCTTTATTTCACATTTCTGTTTTAACGCCATATATGTCATAATTTCTGTTTAATATCCCTGTATCTTACCGGACACATGCTTTCCGTTGGTTGTTTTTATTTAAATGTACTTCTTTTTCAGTTTTTTCATGAGGTTAAGCACTACGAAGATAGCTTGGCACAATTCATCAGCGAGATGTCAAAATCAACCAGGGAAAAATATGCAAAACAAAACAAGAATGTGCAACAACAAATTCTGGACATACGCGTGAGTATTTTAAGAATGACAGTCAGTCGTGTGTTTTTATTTTCATTTACTTTTTTTACGCATTGATATTTAAATAATCATCGGGATTAGTTAGCTACTAACGCCGCCAGATGTCTCTTCTGATGCCTGGTTCTGTTTTTTTTCTTTTTTGGATCGTGTACGTATTCCAACGGCCATAAACCATGATGTCTGTGTTGTTTTAGTTTTAAGGTGTCTCGCCATCTACATTTGAATAAGACAACAAATATCGTTTCAAAAATAAAGCTTTTGAAATAGTTAATGTTAGCCTGAATATAATTGCTCTTTTCACGTATTATTAACTATAATATCCAGGGCATTTTTTTCCGACTGAAGATGGTAATATACACTGCAATGTGACGAAGACCCAGTCATTAACTAGATTTTCAGAGAAATGTCACTGTAATTAATAAAAGAAGGTCAAGATAGTTAACGCACTAATTTGATTATCAGCGATATATCACAAGCTATGCGCGTGATAAGTAAAATTTGATGTTTTGTCGAATCACAAGAGGTGACTCTACATGTACGTCGCTTCTCAGTTTTCTGTTTTTCCTATATAAAAAAACTATTTACTTAAATAACCCGCTGCACATTCTATCTAAATATCGTTGGTCTATCAAAGTAAGAAACATCTATAAACTGATTTAAAGACCTTTAACAGTACTGAGCGTGTTTTTGAACAGCAACTCTTATTTATAGTGAACGTTGCGCCAGCCGCTTTTTAGACTTATTGAAAAAATAAACTTGTTATGCTATCACGAGTTTATATTATCGAAACAGTTCACTGGCCTTGAATTTTTGATCATGTTATTAGAAAGGAGTGAAATAGTGACTGAATATGAATAATTATACCGAAGGCAGTAACCAGTTCAGTAGTATCTAAAAGACTGAAAGGTTACAATTTAATGAAACACGCAGAGGTAGTAGTCACCATTAAAAGCAATTATGAATGGTTTCTGTAATTTGTAATTTGTCATCCATTTCTGAAGGACATGCAACATGTCATGCTAGTCTATAGTAGGAAAACTTTGCCATCTGTGTAAATCAAGCTCTTATACCTTACTCTGTCAGGGAGATTTTGTTGTTGTTTTATTAGTGCTCATCATTTATTGAGTATTCAGTTGTGTGGTTTTCGGAAACCTAATCACGGATTAAGCCCAAATAATTTTAATGCATTTTTATAATATCAAAAACAGATTTCAAGGAAAACAACCTGTAAAGTTTTTTTTTTTTTTTTTTTTTTTGAATTCTCAAGATGAAGATTATTTAGATTTGTATTTTCCTTGCTGTTTCTAGGAAACCACAAGACGTCTTTTAGAACTGCAGACGACAGTGGAAACGCTGTTCGAGCGCAGCGGGACGATTGTTCCTTTGAAATGGAGGAAGGAAATGCCGCCAAACCCACTGAAGATGAAAGCGCTGGCAGCATATGAACACAAAGACGTAGGTTTATTGATTCTGTCTAAATGAGAGGAATGTTATTTAAAACAACGTTCTATGATAACATTAATTATCGTTACTCAATCAATATATTCCTTAGCTTAAGCTTAGGAAATGCAATATTAAATGGTTTATATTAGATCAAATTGTTAAATATATAAATGGCAAAAATTTCTGGTACAAGAATTTTGTATCAGACTACCAGCGCTCCGTGTCAAATATAAAAATCTCTGGGTCATTTATTAAATCATCATACTTGGTCTTTTTTGTAATGATTGGGTTTGATAGCAACGAAGAGTAACTATTTTGGAACATTTTAGTTTGTTGTAGCAGAGGATGATGAAGTAACACTCTTGGATAACACACATGGGACAAAGTGGAAGGTAGGAAATACTTTGATAGTGGTTTTAGTTCGAGGTGACTAGTTTCTATCGCGTAACATAACATACGACCTCATCTCAATAAATGAATAAATAAAACCACATTAAGGTAAGAAATAGGAGACAGTATAAACCATGATGCCTTTGATTTTAACTCCAGCTTACACCAGTAACACAAAACGGGAAACAATACTGAAGACTAACAAGAAACGTATGATAGCAGTTAAAAGTACCACGTTTTGGAATCTTTGTTACAGGTGCGAAGTGCGTCAGGTGTGGAAAGCATTGCTCCGGCCATTCTCTTCTTGATTCCTTCCCCGGACAGCGAGGCAGTGGACAAGGCTAATGGGTAGGTTTATCATGTTAAATTTCAACTGAAAATATACTGATAATAAAAATTCACTTGATATTTTTATTGTTTGCTTGGCTTGTACTAGCGAGTTAGCGGATGCTGAACATATTGTCTCATAAGTATTGTCTCATTTGATTTGGTCCCTGTGTTATCTTTTTGATGTTAAAACAAATGAGGTGTGAAGTTATCCACAGCAACTGTGAAGAATAAAACTGACTAGGCAATGCACATAGTTAGGCGTACTGTCAAGTAGACGAATTTCGCACCAAAATGATCAAATACGCACCAGTCTTAGAAAATAAACGGAGTTATTCCATGGGGATATAGAAAAACAATGTTTATTGCTCTTTGCAGTCTTCGCCAAAGGATGGTTAACATTTGGGAGCACAGCCTTAGAACGCTTCGCAGTCAGACGCTACGTCTTCTAACGCGGGTGATCAACGGCGTTGATTCATCAGAGGTATGGTATGAAATTTTCATGATCTTAAAAATAAACAAGTTTTATACTCTCTGCAGAGATCCCTTTTAATTCCTTAACACATTTGGACGGAAATAGCAGAAGGGAATTTGAAACTAAGTAATAAGGGTCGATAAGAGGAATTATTATTAGTCTGCAAAAAACATGAATATAATATACATATATATATGTATGTTGAAGTGTGCTGAAGGTAAAACTCGTAATGAAAAAGACTTCCATGACAGCTGTGGTAACGTTGTATAATTTATTTTTCCTGCGTCGGTTGAGGTATCGATTATGAGGAATGTAGACAAGACAATACAACACTTCATAGAACTACTAGTTTTTTTTTTAATTTAAAGAATGCTGAACACATGGTAGCTCCACACAAATTGAATCGCTGTCTGCTAGAATCAAAACACATTTGGTACATTTGCATTTCGTTTCTGTACCTTCCATATTCATGTTTACGTTACCAGACTGCAAAAATCCCTTAGGAGACAATGAGATGAAATATTTCCCAGAATAGATTACAAAAAACATCAGGCCAATCTCTCTGCTCAGACACGACGATGCATTAAACGCCCTTTATTTCACATTGGGAAGGCAAGCCGTAGCAGTACTAATGTTGTTATTTGAAATAGCGCAATCCCCAGGAGGTACATCGATCTTGTCTTTAGCAAGGAAAGGGTAGTCTGTCTATTCCAATGATCTACATTTTAGCTCGGCGTGCTGAATCCAGCGCAGACACAAGATGTTATGAAATTGCTGAAAGACTCGCTGAGAAAACTGAGGATTGACGAACCCGGAGGAGCTGACCTCAGAGACTTCCTCCACAGTATTCACTCCTTTGCGAAACTGCTCCAAGACTCAAAAGTCGACCAAGACGAAGGTATGATATCCTCTTTTTATGGACTGCCAATAGTTTAAGTTTGGTTGTGGTATTAAGTAGGTCATTTGGTTCACTTTTCTTTCCTTTGGATTCTTTTCAAATATCTTTCATAAGATCGGGCTTGGGTATTTTTCAAGAAGCGACTGACGAAATATTTAAGTCACGGCTCTATTTTAAATATTAAGTGTTGCAAATGCATCGTTTCCAGCAATATATAAGCTATATCAACAGGTATTGATGAATGTCGCTGATGTATAAATGTCTACGTCATGAGAGCATCGGTTGTCATGGCAACTGTTGTCATATTTTAAATTCTAGTTCTATTATATTTTGTCCTTATGTCATCCATATAGAGTAGGCATATACCTTCGTTAAAAGCAGTTTTAAGATGCACGACTGTTTAAAAGCAGATTTAGATATATGCTGAATATAGGTCCTTAGAAGTAAAGGTATAGTGACTGAATATATAGGCCTCCAGCGACCAATTACCAACAGTTAATATTTTTTTCAGCTGAAGTTTTTAACACTTTGAAAGTGGGCGCCGATAAGTGCACAGTGGACGCCGATAAGTGCACAAAAATGTGGTCTTCATTTCTCCTGGAATCAATATGGAGTCGTGAATGATAAGCACAGTTGCTTTGTATCGTATGTTTATTTAATTGTGCCTAATTTTTGCTTTAATTTTTTGACATTTATCTATTGTAGGTAGACGCCATTCTGCCACGAAATTTTTTGTCGAGTGGAAACAAGTCGAGAAAATGGTAGACACGTTTGAGGTACGTTTTGAAGCATAGGCGTGCAGTGCAATCAAACAATATATTAATTGGCCATTTTTAGATCAAATCTTAACTTTTATTTAGAATTTTTTAATTGAGTAATAACCGAGGATTGGAATTGACAGATTTTTCCGTCCACCCTTTGTAAACTTTGAAGCTACAAAATAATAGGGTAATTAAAATGTAATGGTTCTAATGAGTCGGCTATTGTTACTGTGTACATGTTTTCGAGTCATGGACAAAAGAAAAAAGTCCCTTTGAAAGAACAACATTGGCAACACCCATGATATTTCCTAGGTAGCAAACTTAAAAAGAAAAAACTTCCAACACATCAGCTGTTTTTAATTTTTATTGGACGCTTTTGATAGTGCACTAAAATACATCAGTCGTTAAAGGCCCTGAGACACTCAAAAATCACCAGAGAACCCTTCTTGTAAGGTTCTGTATTATGTTAGCCGTAATGCACTTACGCCACACATATATTTGCGATCCCCAGGAGTTGGCCATATATGCCGATGACTACACCAACACCGTGGACAAGTCTAGCAATACTAAGTATTACCTCTGCTTTGACGACGAGGGAAAATTACGTTGGTGCTCTAATGGGTACATCGAGAGGTGAGTGCGTGTTGTCACTCTTGTCTATTTCCGCGATATTTGATTTCAAGGAAGTCGAGTTCTACACTTTATAATGCACCAAAACTTAGATTTTGCAAAATGGAAATAATGAAAATGTTTAAGATGCCTTATTTTAAAATGTGAGATTTGATGGAATATTATCGAAATTTCAATCAAATAAAAACACTTGGGTAGATAGATTTTATTTAGGTATATATTTGTTGTCATTTCTCTCGTTTTTAACTTATTATTGGGGTCCTTTTGTGTTCTACGTGAACGCAAACAATTCTCCATGCATATTTATGTGGCATGCGTTTCTTTTTAGGATGAAGCACGTTGAACTCGATACGGATATTCCCCTTACCATAGAACATAATGAGGTACAACTGATGATCATCTTCGAGAAGGCGCAGGATGATGACGAAGAACAGCAATCCGATATGATGACGGTGTCGTCTGCTCTGGAAACAATTGAGGAGGAGATGTTCTCGTCTGACTTCATGCGAGAATCTCAGACCTTCTCTATTACTGGTGTGTTGGACCCAAGGACTGATGAGATTGTAAGCATCTTCAGCGCCGTCGCTGATGGTATTGTGGACCGTAAGGATGGAGTTTACCGAAATCCTGTCACCGGAGAGAGCATGCCAATACCAGAGGCAATGAACAGAGGTTTTATCATTGTGGAGTATGTAAACCGCACAATACTACAGCAAACGTCTGAATCTGGGGTTATTAAGACAGTTAAAACCCGAAGTGGTAAGACTTATAAAATCTCGGCTGTTGTTGACCCACGGAATAACCAAAAACTGAACGCCAATGACGCTATGGACGCTGGGATACTTGACCCCAAGAAGGGTCGCTACATCAACCCTACAACTGGGGAGTCAATGAGCATAGATGAAGCAGTCCAGCATGGTTTTATCTTACTAGCTGCTGAAAACGGTCACGTTTCAGATGAAGATGATTTATTCATCACCCAAAGCTATCTGATCATGAGTGTTGTTGACCCTCGCACGAAGAAAGATGTTTCATTAAAGGTGGCTCTGGCTTCAGGAATCGTCAATAAAGAGCAAGGGGTGTATAAGAACTTGGACACAGGAATGGAAATTATGATAGCCGAGGCTATAATGCGTGGTTTCATCAAGGCTAAACCTATAGATTCCACCGCTAATCACAACTCGGCCGACACTATCACCATCAAACTACGCAAACCTAAGGAGGGACGAAAACAGCCCATTGAAGACAAAAGCTATCACAAATTGAAAGATGAGATGGACATGACCATAGATGGTATAAAAGAATCCGGGGTGGACGGTTCACGGGACCTTAACCTTGAAGAGGCTTTACGGGCTAAGATAATGGCCCTAGAAGCGTTGGAATACGCCACAAATAACGGCGATCGGTACACTCTTCAAGAGGCGGTGGCGATGGGATACGTTGACCCGAAAACTGCCACCCAGATTCTCCGTGAATGTGAGGCTAGGAGTCTCGATAACCCCCTCTCTAGTGGTGAACTAGATCCTCATACGAGCCTTTTCGTCGATCCAACCACGGGGCTAAAAGTACGCTTCCGCTCAGCCGTTGCCGACGGGTACCTCGATCCCTACAAAATTTACTATTACGACATCCCTGAGCAAAAAGTCAGCAGTCTCGGTCGCGCTATTAGTGATGGGAAATTTAATGAGGACACGGGTCGGTTTATTGACCCCAGTACCGGGAATGAACTGTCAATTACAGCTGCTGTTGAAAAACAACTGATTGACCCCCGTGTGGACTCGGAGGCTATAATGGACCGCACAGACATACTAAACACCTCGAACCTCACATGGATACCAACATTACCGGGGTTAAACACCCAATTACTAATCAAGACCTATCCGTTAAGGAGGCGGTGCTATCCGGTCTGTTGGACATCCCGGAAGTCGCCTACGTGAATGCTGATCAAGACGAGAGCTTTGGTGTGGCAATCCCCGAGGCCGTGACCTCTGGAAATATAGCCACCGAGACCGCCAAGGAGATCTTCAAGGCCCTGGATGCCATGTCACTTGGAGCCATGCATGATCAGAAACTCCTCGACGAGGACGGGAATTATGTCGATCCTAAAACGAAACAAAAAATGACAATTGAAGAGGCGGTGGATAATGGTCATTTCGATCCAAATTATGTATTTTTTGTAGATAAAATTGGCAATGAGGTCGTCACGCTGGCTGTGTCTATAGATCAGGGGCAGTTTAATCCCCAAACTGGCAAATTTGTTGACCCCTCCGGTCGTGATATTAGCATTTCTATCGCGGCGAAGAGAGACCTGATCAACCCCAGAATCAATCCAGAGGAGTTCATAGAGGAGAGATTCACGCTGCAGGAACTGCAAGCTAAGGGAAAAGCATACGACGACTCCATCCTGAAAATACCAGGTAGACCAGAAATGACTCTGAGGCAAGCTCTTGACGAGAACCTTTTATCTCCGCAAACTGTGTTGTGCTACGACCCAAAGACTGGGACTCTCTCTTTGCCCGAGGTGAACGAGTCTCTGAAGACACTCATGGATATATCGTATCAACTGAAGTGGGTAGGAGAAAAAGAAGTAGAATTGGGAATGCAGAAACCTCCGTCAGAAGATTCAGATGAGCTTAGAAAACAAGCTGACGATCAAGAGGTAAGGCATTTAACTGAAATACACGACATAGAATGGGCACGTCTTCCTTTGCATTTTAATTTAAATTTCCAATATGTAATATAACTGTAGATTTAATAAGGCTTTAACATTCGATGTACGTTGCATTATTTTGATAACATTATTTGGATAGTGGAGTCGGAAATAATCAGTTATTGTGCATACATTAACGAATTCACTATAGCTTTGAGGATGTTTCAGATGGTGACCGTTGACAATATATATATAATTCTTTATGTGATTGCTCCCTACATAATAAATTATAGACGCTTATAGGTCTACTGTTATTAAAATCAGTGCACTTTGATGCTTTCTGGGGTTACTCTGTATGTTGTTGTTATTTTTTAAGTACTATTTGTTTGCCAATAAATAGATATTTGATAATGATTTGTCTGCATCTCTCATTTTCTTTGTCCAAAGCAAAATATCATTTGCATTTGGTAAATGTTTGGTATGCTGTCCCAAGCCTTGTGTACATTGTTCTATTATGCCATATCTATTATTCATCGTTTTATTTTCTTTCTCCCTGACACTTTACAAGAATCAATAATGATATTTGTACGTCCACGTTAACCATTTTTTCTCTCGCAGGATCTTTTGAAAGACGTCGAAAACCACCAGGACCCTATAGAGCTCCTCCTAGAACAGGCGCAAGAGCTCCTCGAAAATGCAAAGAATTCAAGTCGAGACGAGGCATCAGAACATCAGTACCAGAAACTGCGTTTTGCTACATCGGACCTCAAGCTCCGATTCGAAGCGGTTAGTAAAATTTAGTTTGGGGTTCGGGTAATAATATAAATTGAGAAGTTTTTGTGTTGTGATTTCGGAGTAAGAGTCCTAATCGTAAGTGACTCGTGCAATAAACCACCACGTGCCTTGTAGGTTTTACCATTCTCAATGTTACTTGTTTTTTGCATGAAGAGACGGAAATGGTCTTGTGGTGGAAAATGTTCAAAAACAACTGATGGAGATGTTGAACATAATATTGTTTTACGTAGAATATTTAAGTGTTACAGTGCTGGATTCTGGAGAATGGCTTATATTGTCACTTTTATTCACTTTTGTGGGGATCCCACCTTGTTGCAAGCGGTGCGCGTGGCCGCGTAGCATATTCGATTATGGAATCCCTTGTATTAGATCATTTCCATATATATAAAGTGCAAAGAGGATCGGTTTTCAGCATGGTAACGGTTCTCGTTATAGTGATATTTAGAAATTTAAAAGAGATTTTGATTTTTATCAGATTAGATTAACTTTTATTCATTCTTTTGGAGTGAAAATTCAAGAAATTTTGATTAATTAAACAGGCGTATAGTGGACCAGATGTACTGTTCACACAGTGCATTGCTACATTTCGTGCATGGTGCTCGTTGACATAAGCATTGTGAGGGATAGGGCCTTGGTACGAGCTGAATTATATGCTAAAACAACAGTTCGTTAACAGGAAAGTAAGATCCCATCGATTTACAGAATGCATGATATACGTTTAATTTATTGTCCAAGCGATGAAAACTTTGGCAACATGATAAGAAAACATCATCAAAAATGCATGATAAAAATTGTAACCAATATACTAGGCATATACCTACAATTCAGGCAGAGGGATTGCAGCAAGGTTCTGCATGGCATGAGAGGAAAGGCTGTAGATTTTGAAAATTGTCTCAAACTAACATTTTACTAATTCTATTTCCGCAGAGTGCCAGAAACTTGCAGCGATCTCTTGTTTCTTTCATTGGCTATATTCTGGTATGTGAGACCCATTGGCTGACAAATTGCACTCAAAACTAATCCAACACAATTCCTTTTGTGTCTTAAATGTTTTGGACAGTATCTCGGTGTACCATCTATCTTCAAGTAAACTTTTCTCGTATACGTATATTTTTGTTTGTTATGTCGAAGAAATACTTTTGTCCAGTCCCTTGAATCTTATTGCCATATATCGTGTTATAGAGGCTTTGAGGTGTCAAGTGAAGGAGGAATGTGTGTTCATTGAGTCGTTAGGTTACAACAGTGACAAATCATAGGGATCATTCCATCATTCTGATTTAAATTTATTCCGCCAGATATACGTGTACATGTAATGCTATACACTGGACACAGTTAAAATTATGGCTTAAAATTGGCCTTTCTACGAATAACAGCCATTGTGATTGATAATGTGTAAAAAGAAATTTTAGAAAGTTGTTATAAGTTTCACAATACCTTTATGTTATTGATGTATTTTTGATAACTGAAGGAGTGTCCGCATTTCTTGATTTTTTTGGGTGATATTGCATCAAAATATTTCAAAACCATTTGCCTATGAAGCGCTTTTCTTTTGTTTAGGTATACAGTCAGGCGGAGGCTAGAATGAAACTCCTGGAGGCTCTGCTGCACCAGCTTCAAGACTTCTACGAGAACTTAGAAAGTTTTGATGAGTGGCTGACCCAGGGAGAACAGACCATTGGAGAAATGCAGAAAGCTCTGACAGATTTAGATAATCTGCAACAACATTCAGAAGCTTTTAAGGTGAGGCGATCGGTTAATCCTGGTCAATGAAAACTTAGGGGTATTTCTGCGAAAATGAAATTGATTATCCGTTTCGTTATTTTCAATTTCAATAAAATATTTTTCCACAAGATTCTTTAACCTCTGTTTTATGTATAATGGACTTTTTGCACTGTGCAGTGTCGTTTTTATTTAAAAAAGGAATCGCAATTTATACTTTCAGAGTTTTGCTGATGAGGCCATGTTGAAAGAGAGCAATTTGTCCGAACTAATGAATGAAGGTTCTCAATTCAAAAATGACAGTCAGGTATGAAAGGCATTTGATAGAAGTGATAAACAAGATTTTATTTCGATCACTACTAAATGTAACTGAACGAGTACTCTGATAACGAAACCATGTCTGAACTTTATAAAGCGACTGCAAAATGTAGCTATTTTTGTTTTCACTATGGCTATTATCAAAAGAACATCGAAGCTCACAAATGGCCACATATTCCCACATGAGTCTATTTTCTGATGATGGCTGTAATGTTGTCAGTCGGCAATCTGTAATTGGTAATGTTGTACTTGCGTTCTTGGAATTTACGTATTGATTGTGCTGTCTGCGAAATTCAAGGCGGTCTGGAGGGATATCAGACAATGCATATTGATTCAGCAGGAATAATGATAGAGAAGAGAAGTGGGATTAAGGATGTAAAATTGACACCAGTGACGCGCTCAGTGTTCAGCCTATTCAGTCAGCTGAGCTCGCTTAAAAGTGTGCGTCCACACACATACACTTCTTTTCCAACACAAAATTGTACATAATGTGAAAATATGAAAAACAGTTCCAAATAACTGCTAACACATCAGTAGAACACACATAAAATTGGAAAACTTCAAATGTCAACCTGGCATTGTAATATTATCTGAAAATATATACGATATTCAAAGTGTGTGCCAGTGAAGTATTTAATCGGATATTTTTTTTCTTTTGCATGTTTTTAGGATTATGAAAAAGGACTTGAAGTATTCCGTGAGGGCATTCACCTGCAGAGAGACAACTCGGGGGCCGAGAACGACGAAGCAGCTCGAGTGATCGACCAAGAATTACAAGCCGTTAATGAAAAGTATAAAGCACTGTTAACAAACTGCATGGGTTTGATGGCTCAGCTCACAGATACCGTCGAAAAATGTAAAGAATTCAAAGAAATCCAAGCTGAGCTACAAGACTGGTTCCCTGAAACAGAGGAACAAATTGCTAATGTCAAGCCAGAGGAAGTAGAGCCTGAGCCGGAGAAGATACAAAAAGAGATAGAGCTTTTGTCAATTTATAACGCGGATGTCGCATCACAAGGAAAACTGGTGGACGATCTTAAAAGTGTTGGCGGTGAATTGGTTGACTTCCTAGAAAGCAACGAGACAAAAGATAAAGCACAGGAGATAGCAACAGTAGTTGCTTTAATGGAGGGAAGATACAACGCTATCCAAGACCAATACGACCAAAAGAATGCCCAGCTCAACCAAATGCTCGTGCAAAGCCAGGACATCTCCCATGGTATTGACGTGATGCTAACATGGCTAGAAGATACAGAGAACCGACTTCAATGTCTGCCACCTGTGAGCCTTAACAAGGAAAACCTGAACCAGCAACTCCATGAGCACAGAGTTTTGCAGTCTGAAATCAACAATCGTAGGACACACATGGAGACACTTGCCAAACAGGCCGAGGGTGTCCCCGGCACCGAAAGTAAACTAAACGAAGCACACGATCGTTTTGAGAAAATCCAAGAGGCGATGAAAGCGCGGGCAGACGACCAAGATGACGTCATGAGTAAAATGGGTAATATTCAAAGATCGGTGCAGCAGGTTGAAACATGGATTGGAAGCACTGTTGGAGTACTAAAGAAGGCCACTGAAATCGGAACTTTCTCCGCTAAAGACAAAATCGAGGAATTGTATCGTCAAAAGCAAGCAAAGCAAACGGATTTGGACGAAATTAAACACACAGGAAAAGAGCTTGTTGACAGCCCAAAGACAGGTGACAAGAACAGTTTAAGAGAGACCATCGCCGACGTCCATGCAAAATGGCACAGTCTGACAGAAATGTTGGTGCAACTCATTTCTATGGAAGTAAGTTGTCTACCTGTTATTCATATTTTTCTTGCATGTTCATATTTTTTCCTGGTCATATCATTTGCTCAGCAGTTGTGTCATTTGGGATTTAAGTGAATGTTATCTATTTTTTTTTTTCGTGCACAGGAGGCTGCCTCGGGCGAGGATTAGGAAAGATATGCGTGTCAAATTGAACCACAGTACACCTTGGCCTGGCATTAATATGTAGCTGTATATAAGGATCCCTGTGGCTGATATACTAGAATCGTTGTGCAGTGTAGAATGATATTTCAAATGCCAACTCCGTGCTGTTTATTAGCTTTTTGGTTGTTCAAGCAATATAGCACATTGAAGTGTATTATTACATACTAAGAATTGTGATTTTTTCGGTATTTATTAGGCTCTCCAGGAAATCGACGAAGCTGTCAAGTTCTTGGACAAAGCTGAAGCAGAAATTAACACCTCCGACCCAATCAGTATCGAGCCAGAGACTCTTAGTGTGCAGTTAAGAAACCAACAGGTAGGTCACTATATATTTATACCTGATATTGTTTGCGTAGAGGGTTCCACGAAATTCGATGTTCGAAGCTCCAAGACGCGTTTGTCATTGACTATTGCAGTTTTAGTAATAATACAACTCACCTTCATTAGTGACATTTGTGTATTCTCGGTATTCTCACATTGTTGCTGCACGTTTTCTCACACTCTTGCCAATTCTTCTAGATTTGTTGGTGGGAAAGTCATTATTCAAATCTATCGATTTTCTTTTCTTAGGCGCTACATGCTGAATTGGATCAAAAGAAAAACGGAATCCGAGATCTGGTAAATAAATGCAATGTGATGCTCAGAGACACCACCAGCGAAGAGGCTGATAACGTGAAGAACAGATTGGAACAAATTCGAAGCCAGGCTGACTCAGTTTGTAAGCTGAGCGAAGATAGGTTGCGACTTTTAGAAGATGCGTCACCATTGGTTCGTCACTTTAACGACGTCCAATCGGATTTGCGAGTCTGGCTTACCGATGTTGAATCCGAGATTCAGGGACTAGACGCGGCGGGTCAAAGTGCAGACCAGATAAAGAAACAACAAGAGCAAGTCAAGGTAATAGTCTTATTCCCCTGAAGTCATACATTGAGTTCCTTGAAAATCAATACATTTTTCGTATCATAAAATCGCAATGCCAAACTTTGACTCCTTATCCTATTTGTGCTTCATCGGCCGTCTGACTCATTCTTGTATACAGTGAAATGAATCAATATGCTTAACAGTGCTTTCATAAAGAAAGGAAATTGTAAAACCTTCCGAATCGAAATCTCACTTCTCTTCTTGAATACCCTTAACTCCGTTTAGCGCATTAATTATAATAACTGATGACTTCCCCTGAAGACACAAGTATGCAGTGACACTTTTCTCTAATCAATAAATTGGATTCATACCGGGATCTTTTCAGATTAAGGGTAATAGTAGTATAATTAAATTAATTGTTGTGTATCCAATATTAGACCGCCTGTAGAATAGAATAGGACTTTTCACAGCGCTGAATATATCCAAGAGAAAGATGAGATGGAATTATTTAACAGACAGGTGGAATGTTGCAGCATGAGGTCATAGAATCGATACACAAAGGAAGTGGAATATTTATATGAATGAGATCACGTTTTTAAACTGATAACAATTGATGAATCAGTCGAGAAGGATTTAGAGATGCATGAAGTCATCGTTTTGTCTGATTCCAATTTAAAATGAGGTGTTTCTGTCTATACAATCTTTAGGGTTGTATTTTAATATGTAAAGAAGGAACCTTACCTTTGTGACCTTTTAAGTATTAAGTATCATTAATTGGATAAAATCAAAGTAGGGAGGTTTTTTAAATCCCGGTAGGATCCTAAATTGATCCCTGAATCATTTTACAGACTCACATTATCTGTCTGTATTGAATGCATAGACTGGGAAAACCTTTTTTGCAACTTGCAAAACGTAGAACAATTTAATAGATGTAAAAAATACATCGTTACGGATATACCTGCATTTTACATACTTTCAATCGCTTTCTGAACACTCTTTTTTCATTTGACATTACGTATCAAAATGTCTATATTGAATGTACATAAACAAAACGCGGTTCTTGGTGTATGTTTTGTAATAGATAGATCCTATTAGCTTAAATGCGGGAAGCACGGCTTCACATATGCCCTTTTAATCCGTATAAACGAAACACAAACCCAGCCCGGTAATGTATGTATTCTCTTAATCCATATGATTGAAATAAAGATCTCACTTGATTATGTATATATCTGTCGTTTACACTAGTATTCTCGGCTCAGTTAGGATAAGGCTCCGTGACCTGCGGTATAACCTTACATCTCATTTCTCCCAAGATGTCTATTTATGAGCTCATATTGAAGGATTTCGTTGCGTTGAATCAATTTGACTTTCCATTAGCTTAAGAACGCAACGTTTCCTGATGGCTAAGAGTGGAAGTGACGAGGATCAGTAGGATTTTGCGAACTCAGTCCTAGCTAGGCAGCAGGCCTTACTTATGTATAGATACAGACGAACAAAAAATCGATTGTCAGGCTTAATTCAACCAACCAGCTGAATGTTATTTGCTGGAAAATCACTCGGAATAGCAGAGTGACTCGTCAACATGGTCTACAAGGTGCTACGCCGGTAGGGCTGCTTCTAGGGCGGCTTCTAGCCACGGAATCTTAGGAAATGGGCGAGGGGGAGGGAGGCGTGAGTGAGGGACCGGTATTTCATACTTGATATAAAGCTACTAAAATTAACATGGCACGGGTGGATTCATTCCCCAGTTTTGTGCTCTTCTCTCCGCAGAACACCCAACGGTTGATAGAAGAACGTAAGCCACAGATTGAGAACCTGAATGAAGGGGGGCAGGAGCTTATGGGTGTCTGTAGCGATGAGCACGGATCCCAGGTGCAGGACACCCTTCTCAACATCAACAGCCGTTACGAGGACGTTAAAGCCGCCGTGAGAGAGAAGATTAACGAACTGGATGATGCCTTCCGGCAAGCAACATCAGAGGTAGGTTGTACTAAAGTCAACACACATGGCTGAATATGTTGATATAGATACAGGCATTTTAGACTCATGCTCAGACCCACACCCTGATCGCCAAATATTAGATATAATGTTAACGTATATCATAGTCCAGTTTCCTGCTGGTATTATCCATGTTACAAATATAACGGATGCTTCTTGATGTATTAATGTATGTAGAGTGCCTTTGACAGAGAATTACCCTTAAGTGGGAAATATGGTTGATAGACCCAGCGGTTTTGGACTGCTTCGATGAACGTTTTTAGGTTAAAGATATATAGCACCGAATGTACATGTATACAGGATGTACGCTTGATAATCCGTCTTCTTGATTATCGACAATCTCTCTTTATGATGCTTAATGTATTGAAACTGGATTGAAGAGGTATTCGCGTAATATAGGACAGAGCTATATACTGAATATGATCAACATGGTACTCGCATCATAACATTTGCTTTTTACCTCTAAAATCTATGAACATTTATGTTACCTTAAGCGCTGTTCAAGATTAATGCGTGTACCAGAAGTCACTTCTGATCAATAGAGATTATCGTTGTTAGAGAAATTACTTTCAGACCAGAGAAACTAAAACCAGATACAGAATTACACTGTAAATTATCCTACACACGTATGGCTTTACCAAGAAATTCTGGATGTTAGCCACAGAAATCAGTATCTCCTACTTTCTGGCCTCGGTGGGCTTTCATTAACATATGATTACGAAACAATGACAAGTACAAAACAGCCAGTGTTTTCCTAGTCGACCCCTTGAGAGCTTTTACCATGTTTAATTGAATTTTATGGCAAAGATGTTGCTTACTTTATATCAAAGTGCGATTATAAGATTATAAAACATCCGTTTTTATCCACGGAGGACAAGTAATGTCTCTTACTCAGCCTTTGTTTTCTATGACATTGATGTATATTTAATGTTTATTTTTTCACTTAAAAATACTGCGTGTTGGTACAAGAACATCTTCCTGAAATGTGTGCCAGTTTTTCTTGACTGGTAACACCAACAGTGTTCTACTTGGGGTGTAAATTCTGTACAGGTAGATCAGTTTATTAATGTTGATCACGTAATTACTTAGCAACACAATACCAGGCGTTTTAATAAAACTGCGGAGGGAGTTGAAAAATTCTAACAATTATCGATGTGGTGTGTTGCCTAGGGAATAACACCCCGGCTTTCTTTCTGATGATTGAAAAGCTGCCAAATTTCTTTAGGTTACCGATGCACTAGATAGCCTGTCGGAGGAGTTGCAGGCGCTGAACGACCAGATTGCTCATGCAGACCCCGTCCCAACGCGCCCCGAGCCACTCAAGGAGCAGATCGCGGAGTCGCAGGTAGTGGTTGCGATTACGCGGAATAAGGTCCTCGTACAAATAACGAGAGTCATTACTTCTTAGTGATAATTTAGCATAAAACTAAGACAAGATCTGAAGGTGGTAAACTGTTCAATCTGGTTCTATAAGAACTGAAGAATGAATATGTCTGAAATAGAAAGAATGTATTGTTGTTGTAATATTTAAAAAAAAACAGATTTTCACAACACGTGATAACTCATCAGCAGATATTTTCATTTGATTTAGAATTGTTTAACAAGTTTTAACTACGTGGTTATAACATCTATGTATTGATGTCTATTTTAGAATGTTCTTGAGGATGTTGATCGTCGCAGGGACGCCCTGGTCAACGCCAAAGATGCAGCAGCTGCCTTTATCGCCCAAGTGCCTGAGGAGGACAGACAAGCAGAGGGTAAGTCCCCCCCCCCACACACACACACACCGCCCCTTTACTCCGAATCAGAGCAGTTCTTCGGCAGCCTGCCAGTTGTTATTTTTACTGTGCCAAATGCAATATTTTGTCAGTAGTGAGTTTTCCAAATAACCCAGTAAAAGATCTCCTCTTCCTCGTTTTCTGAAAGGAGATCAATATTTTAAGGGTACATTATGTTGTGTAAAAAGAAATAATTGTATTGATCTTTTTTGCCTGATTTCAGCACAAGAGTTAAAGCACAAAATCACTGAACTCGAGCAGCTTCACGATACCGTGAAAGCCGCCGCTAATGTTCGCTCACGCACATTGGAGGAGGCCCTTAATGTGGGGGAACAGTTTTGGGCTAACTATGGGGGTCTTATGGATACTCTTAAGGAACTGCAAGATAACCTGAACTCACAGGATAGCCCCCATGTGGAGCCCGAAAGTGTGAAGGAACAGCAGAAAGAATTATATGTAAGAAGTATATATATATTATAAGGCTGTATTGCAAATCACCTTTTGTGTAACTTGAGTTCTACTAAATTTATGTGCATGACAGTTGTAGAGATAATTGAACGCAGGGAATGCAGAATTATTTCTCCCAGTTCAGTTTTAACCATTTTGATCATGCCTGACAGTTTTCGAAAACTCTTGGCAAAGTGGATAATTTTGAATGCTCAAAGGACGTTAAGGACGTTTTATTAACATTTATAAATCTACTCTTTCTCTTGACATTCTAAATTGCTGCTAAAGCGACAAATCTTTATTGGTTGGTGTTTAAAAATATTGTCATTTGTATTTAATATTATCATCAATATATTTTACCAGTTATAATATTTATCTTGCCAGGCCATAAAAGAAGAGTTTGAGAAGACGAAGACACCAATCCAAGAATGCCGCCAGACCGCCGACTACTTCAGCTCTCTGGTAGGGGAACCGGGCAAGGTAGAGGTGAAGAAAGCAATGGAGGATATGGACGAGAACATGGAGAACCTGGAGGATGGGATCAAAGAGAGGGAGGAGGAGTTAGACAATGCATTTGAGAAAGGGAAGAGCTTTGAACAAACATTCCAGGTAATAGAATCTCTTTTTTTATGCATAGAAACAGATTTGTGAGTAGGCCTACATTTAGCCGTCGCCTGTGTCTGTCGTCGCTGTCGCCGTCGCAGTACACTTTCAGTGTTATTCTACGTACAATGCAGATCTTAACATTCTTTGTTAGAGTTATCTATCTTGTTCCAGAACAACATACGTCACTATATGGAATACCTGATCGTCCACAAATCTTTTTGACAGATGCAGTATTATATGAATAACAGGGATAATCCTTGTGAAATTAGCTACATTTTATTAAATGTATCCCCTCACTATAGGTATATGTTATAAGATTTCCAGTAGGATGTGCTCTCTGGCCCTTTTAGTAAATGGTGGAATCTATATTCGTTTACCTGTCTTATAAAAGTATTGGTGATATTTATTCATGATTCTTTTTATTTCACAGGACATTAACTCTTGGCTTCCAAAGTTTGAAGAAAACCTTGCAAGAATGGGACCAGTTGCTGCTGAAAAAAGATCGATCAAAATACAAATAGAAGAACTTAAAGTTCTAAAACTTCAAGCGCATGCTAGAGACGCTGATATTGAAAAACTAAACACCCAGGCAGCAGAGCTTAAGGCAATGTCTCCTCTGGCTGCTGATGGGGTATTGGACACCGTGAAAGAAATGAATGGGAGATGGGCAAATTTGGTGAAAGGAATAGCAGATAGAGAGGTATATATCAGGGCTTTTGGCTTGCTTGTCATGAAATTTTCTGGCATCATGTTGCTGTATCAGATAAGAGTTGGAAGGCACATTGCACAAACTCATTTATAATTTGCGCGGTAATTGTGTTCAGAACTATTTAAATTTCAAGAAATTACAAAGGCCCAAAAGGAAAACGAAGTTCACAATTTCCCTAGCAACAAAGTCACTGATTATTAGGAAAACAGAACAGCGAACTTGTTTTAATTCTACTTACCATTAAAGCATAAAGTGCAGATCGTAATTTTTTTTGCATGTTTTTTATTCAGACTCGCCTACAGGAGTCGCTAGTATCGCTTGGAGAACTGGACCATGCTTTAGACGATGTGATTGGTTTCCTCACTCACGCGGAACAGGTGCTTACTCAACAGGACGATGTCAACGGGGACCACAAACACATAGAAGCATCCCTTAGAAAACTACAAGTAGGCGCTGATTTTAACTTGAACTATAATTAAAAGTTTGCCTAATAATTTTAAGATACACGTTTCTGTTCTGATATAGTAGTTGGGCCTATATAGTGATGTAAAAAAAAGAAACTGTGCATGTATTTGCAGTCAGATGCAGATGAGATTTTTGTGTCTCAGGGGCGCAAAAATTATATATTAAATACTAATAAACCCCTGCATATAATGAAATATTATGATACTTCACTTTACATGGCAGTTACTCCAAAGAGATATCAACAAACATGGCGCGATGGTCACCACCTTAAGTGAAGCAGTGGAGGCAGTGGCAGCCAGGAATGCTACTGGGGCGCCCGCTCTAAAGGACAAACAAGAAGAAATGAACGAGTTGTGGAAAGCCGTCAACATTTATGCATTGGAAAAACAAAATCAACTACAGGACCTGTTGAAAGCTGTGAGTGGCTTATTATATTTTCGTTTAATTATTCAGAGATGATCTGTTATAACACGCTGTATTATGCATCGTTCAAGATAAGTTAATTGAATAGTCTCCCACTCAGTGGCTTCAGTACATCAATGTGTTAATGATGCGCCTGCTTTGAGGCTTGTGGTGGATCCAATGGGTATATAGATTGATGTACGGTCGTGAGATATGTAAATACTTATTTCTTAAGCACATGCAGGCGTTTTTTTCCCCCTAAACTGCCGTCATCATCTGTTACGTTTCGCGCATTTCCAAATTTCTCATAGCAAATTCATCAGTGTAGTTGGAAATACATACTCCTTATTTATTCCTAACAATTTGTATTAAATTATGGAAAATCCCAATACAGTATTTAAGGTGTTTACCCGACTTCCTCAGTTGCTGAGTCATCGGGTGCCGTTTATGCGGTATCGATTTCTGTGTCTGAAGCGAAATGTCTTCTTTCCTCTGCAGGCAAAGGCTTTTATTGGGGAAGTGGAGGACGTTCTTCACTGGCTTAGAGATTATAAACTGGGACTGAAACGTGTGAAACCGCTGGGCGCACTGCCCGAAACTGCTAAAAAACAGTATGATAAATTCATGACCGGGTACAACCACCTCCACGGTAAGGAGGACCAAGTTAAGATGATCCTTCTCAATGGAGAAGACATGATCTCACGGTGTAAACGTTCAGACGTGATCATGCTCAGGGAAATGCTGGCAAAACTGAGGTTTAGGTGGGACGACACGACCAAGAGAGCCGAAAAGGAAAAGGTAGTTATCATGAACCTATTATTATTATTAATATTATTGTTTTCATTGCTGTTGAATTTTTTTCGACATAGAATTTAACTATGTATCGTCCCTCACCAGGTAACGACGAACGTGCAGTGTCCTGTTCTGTTCTTCGAGCAACTTTTATCTAGTGAATAATCACATTCAAAACTACGAAACAGTAACAGAAAAAACATTGCTCCCAACCAAAATGAAAACTGTACTACATCAATTTCATTTCATCAACAACAGAAGAAAATTGAGATCCACATGCAAGCAGTGAACGATTTCCACGCCTCTCTGAACACCTTCACGGACTGGCTTGCCAACGCTGAGAATGTCTATGCTAGCTTTACTTACCCGAGCAAGATTGTGGAAAGGGTCACCAAACAGATTAAGGACCATAAGGTAATGGAAAGGGGCCATTGATACTATACATATATACATATTGTATATATTATTTTAGTAAAAACGATGTTTCCTCTCTTGTCTTCGTAAAACAGAGCTTAATGCTTTCTCTTATGTGTTCTATAATTAATATTTTCACAGGTCTTCTTTCCTTTTTCTTGTTTTCTTTAAGGATGTATTGTTTTCTTTGATGTTCTCATATACACTTAAACACATAAAACACACTGAAATTATAATAAACAACAAACAAATTAAGGTTTATTGATCATGGGTCATTGCTATAACAGGTATCAAACTGGAATTAGCTGTTTTAAAAAATTAAGGCATTTTCTCACTTCTTCCGTAGGATGTGTACGATGACTTGAAGGCTCACGCAGGAATCATGCAGAGCACGGACCGCAATGGGACCTACCTGAAATATTTTGGCCGTAAACACGACACGGTTTACCTCAATAACTTGCTCACCAGCGTTCGGCTGAGGTGGAAAAAGCTCGTGCGGCGGACAGAAGAGAGGGGGCGGTTACTCACACAGGCGTACAAGGAGGATAAAAGGGTATGGGTGGTTGTAAAGGTTCATAAAAGTACCGAGTATTGAGGAAAAACACACTTAATGTTTATGAGATACTTTCAGTGTCAAAACCATTGGCCCTTATATTTGGAGAATATATGTTTATCAAAACAAGGGAATTTTTTAATCGATTCAAGCAGGTTTATTCACGAATCATTTTGGTAACAATAACAGAGCACAATGCCTCGATTTGGCGGCCAATGCAGCAGTGCAGATGAACACAATCCCCGAGTGTTCACCGAACAATTTTGTCCAATATATCTCGTCCCTAATGTGTTCGATTGCCACTATGATAAACCTGTCTACAGCAGTCACCAGTAGATGTCCTTTGATTTATTGATTGACAGATGAATGTACATTACAAACCTGCTATTCAAGCTGAAACAATTACGACAGACGGCATAGATCAGATAAAATTTTAGGCCTAATTGATAACTGGTTAGTGTAGCACTGTTTCATAAAATCTTTATATATGTATATGAGCGAAAAAAGGAAAAAATTCAATACAGTATCAAGTCCATGACACCGACAGTGATTTAAAAACCGTTCATGCTAATTGTGTTTAAACCTATCCTATTTGCACAACAATCTGCTGCTGTGTTGTATCCTCTGAAACCATTAGTGTATTAACTCCTTTGAGAATTGCAATGATTACCACTGGGTATGGAAGAACAGATTGCTGGCCATAATGGGACAGAAAAAACATCTGTTGTTGAGTAGACTGATATTGCTGTTTTAGAACTGAATCAGTTTGCATATTTCAGCCGAGATAAAGAGACATTCGTTGCTAGAATTTCACCGAAACACTGCGAAACATTGAGAAACCTAAGCACTCAAACCGGAATCTTAGTTGGTTCATATTCTGAAATACATGTAGCCTCATATTTTGAGGATATCAAAATGGTACTTATCTAAGACTTTTAGGTACTATTTTTTGTGGGTGACTTGTATTGAGAGTTATCCGCCTGGCAGGTAATCAGAGATTCACAGGCACGGTTTTGGATCTGAAGTGCGATATTGAACATCATACCTCTCACGATAAATTGCCGTGTCATTGTGACAGTGATCCATGCACAAATAATGCAATCTTTACAATATCGGTGAGCTCCTTTGTCTTTGTTACAGTTTTACGATTCATGGAAGGACCTGTGTGACTGGTTAGACGACACAGAGAAGAAGCTACTCAATTTCTCAGCTCAGAAATCTCCAGCAGAAGTGAAGCAATTTATGGACGACCTAAAGGTAAGATCTATCGCTTAACTGTGATCCTTGTTTATTCTCTTTGAAAACTATTGTTGTAGCCATGAAAATAAACTAATTTTTAATATTTGAGTCATAAAAGTATTGTGGAGACAGTTATAATATTTTTAAGTGGAAAGTAAAATAAGTAATTAACATAATGAAAATAAGAAATTAATTGAAAAGTGACCGAATGAATCATTCAAAGATTTTTTTGTATTTTCTAATCTGAATGTAAAAATTCTGATCTATTATCTTACGGCGGGATTTCATGGTGGTCGGGAACGCCGTCGCCTAAAGTTTTCCAAATACTAACTTGTCTCCAGGGAATTAGGGTGCACTCTTCTACTTTATCACAATAACATACTCAGCAGTTGGCGTGGGTCGTCTCTTGTAGAGTAGCGTAGAATACGGGCCTGAAACTTTGGGCATTTCTGCTACACACACACATGGCGCACATCTTCTGGTTAGCAGCTGTAGGTTGCTGTGATCAGTCGCTTACTTTGGGTGGCGTGCGGCTCTATATTTAAGCTGCCTCTTTGAAAATAGCTAACGTGTACCTGAAAACACACTTCCAACAAGACAAGGAATGAGTTGTTTATGATTTACTATTCTCTTCGAAAAGGTTTTAGTAGTCACTTGTCCACCTTGTGGTCCGAGCAGTCTTTAAGTTAAAACTGCAATTTTTGAAAGAAATTACATGTATGGTGTACTTTTGAACGTTTGACACTAGGTACAGAATCCAGTGTTGCCCTTTAGATGGAAGTTCCCGTTTAAATAAAAAATATATATATATATATATATATATATATTTAAATAATCAACTTGGGCAATTAATCACCCGCTCCTCTTTTCCCTCCACTCGCATCAATTCGCCGCTATGCTTTCGCAGCTTTTACTCATTCACATGCTTCCTAACTTAGCCTACTCATAAACTAAAGAATGGGAGACCAATGTGGAAACAGATTCAGTTGGAACGACTTGTAAGTCCTTATCATAGTTGTAACCGGCAGGAAAAAAACAGGCAGATTGCAGGGAGACTGTCAGGAAATAATGAACACATTTTGATGAGATCGATTTGGAACTCTCTGTGTTATTACTTCGTTAATTGGGGAATGCAATTTGAACATCGTATCAATCAAATTAGCCCTAAAAGCATTTCAATACTTTGAGAATTAGGGTTTTATTTCCAAATGTCAAGGGAAGTCTCACCTTTAAAAATACCGGGTTTTTTTCCTGCACGTGGACCACAATTTACTTAGCGCACCCATCTTCATGTTCAACACCGTGAAACTGCATGTGCCTCACCTTTGTTCAGGCTTCGTACTTTGCTCTGTACCTATAATACTAACACTCGACTGTATGTATGTTTGTGAAATTGTATGTTTTGTTGTTGTTTTTGTCATGTTCTAATTGTATTGCCGCATATGATGTTATATTGTGCTCGTGCAAGCTCCCTGTATAACCTTTGCGTTTTCCATTTGCCATCTACTACACCATGATGGAGTGCCTGGACGAAATCCAGAGGATGTAACTCATTTTATATTTTTGGTATGATTATCTTTTATAAATCACTTCATAATAAGGTGTTGGTTGATTTAGAATAATTAAATAATTGAGAACAATATTCACAGTTGTGACATGAATATGCAAAAAGTTTTTGTGTGATTAAGAAAAAAATTCCCAGAATTCAAATACTAAAAACATTAGCGATGAAATTATGAAATCAAGATAAAAAGCTGTCGTCTACCTTTAGGATTTAACCTCAAATGTCGACCCATATTTAGATTATCATGTATCACTGGGTGGCAGTTAGTTGACGACGACAGCTGTGGATATTGTTGGTGTGATGAATTACCTGTACTGTTGACACAGATATATATAGCCGTTTGAATATGTACAGAATGCCATTTAGCCAATATTTTTAAAATCCGAAGGGCAGTAGAGCCAGCAGGTAAACTTTGTTGTATAACATATATTATTCAGTTATTTCTATTTTGCTTTTATTCCTTACTGCACGTTTTTGTGTGACTTATGCAGTTAGCTTTTGTGCGTCTAATTTGACTTTGCAAAGTTTTGCGATGCCTTTGGTATCTGCATCACTGTTTTTGCCAGCGTTCAACTTTGTTGGTTCTGCATTAAATGTTTGCGACTATTGCCTCTAGAATAAGTTGTCACGGGTATTGATCATGGTCTTGCGCTCTATAGCATGTTGTTCAGAGAAAACATATTTTTTCATATAAAAAGTAAATATTCACCATGGCTTTAATAATAATTGATTTTCCAAATATTTTAACTGTACAGAATTTTATAACTACTACAATTCAACCATGGATGTTCATAGAGTATAAACATCTTAAGAATTTGAGATATGTATATGTTCATGTATATCATAATACGTATATCGATTTAATGATTGGCGTACTGTAGAGCTTTTCAATGAAATCTTTTAAGGTGCAGGTTTAAAGTATGGCAACCTCCATATTTGTCGTGATCAGCTGTGGTCAATAGGTATAATATGGTTTTGTCACACAGACTGTCGCCATAAATCCCATTTCACTACATCCTCACATATTCACAAAATTATTAATGACAACGATGTTTAAACATGTCTTTATCTCCATTGTACCACTATCGTCTGCTCCAGCATTATGAACATCAGATTAGTTCCAAGCATCCACAGTACTACACAACAACAAGGTTGGGCAGAAATCTAAAGGACAGGTGTACCAGGAATGATCAGGACAGGGAAACGCTGCAGGAAATGTTAGATGAACTGAAGAACAAGTGGACGATTGTCAGATCTCTGGTTTCTCAAAGGTATGCTGCCGTGAGCTGTTCACTCTTGAGTTCATGTAATGTACGCAAAGGGGATACTCCCCCACATATGTAGCTTAGATAAAATGAAAATTATACAGTTTTAACTGATTTCAACATTTTAAAAAATTCTTAGATACTGAATAACATAAGATTGCTGAATATTTTCTCATGGTTTCGTATCATATATCTTTATATATGTCTTTTAGGTGAATTGTTAATTTTTCACTATGAATCCTTGAGATTAAAAAGAATTCACAATTTGAAGAATAATGTACATTTTTACCTAGACAAAGCAAACTAGACGAGGCCCTCCTGATGTCTGGTAGGTTGTCAGACGCGCTGCAGTCCTTAATGGAGTGGCTGACACGCGCTGAGACCGCTCTCACAGAGGATCAGAATGTAGCCGGAGATATAGACACTGTAAACATTCTTATTGAACAGCACAAAGTAAGTGACTCACTTACCCATTGTAGTTTGTAAATTAAGATTTCTTTCCTTCAAGTTATAGAAATTATATTATATTTATATCTAGTTCATCTGAGGAAATAAATTGTGTAGACATTTTTCGGGTATAAAAATGGTGTTGTACTAGCCATCTATCGGAGTAATGAAGTCGCCTGTCCCAAGTAACAAAATTTAACCCCCTTTCTTCAGTCATTCCAACAAGAACTCGATGCCAGACAGTCGACAATAAACACTCTGAAGGATTCGTCCCACGGGGACCCAGCCCTCACCTCGCAACTAGAGCACCTGGACCGCAAGTGGGAAGAAGTGAACCACCTCAGCAATATGAGAGAGTCGAGGCTGCAAGATGCCCTTAAACTAGTACGTTCAGAATCTTTTTTCTTTATAAGTTAATGTGAGGTATGAAGACGTGAAAAGAAATGAGATATGACGGTGTTCATTTGACGAGTAATAATTATATGTAACCTTCACGTATATGTGATCAAACAAAGAAATGCATCAACTTACTTGTTCTTTACCTATCCTACAAGGCTGAAGAGTTCCAAGAGGTGGTTCATGTGATGCGAGAGTGGCTCCCTCAAGCGGAAGCGGAGCTCAAGGTCCGGGCGCTGCCTGAGGACGAAGTAGAAATCGTAGAATTGATAGAAAGACACGAGGTATGTGTTGTAATTCAACTTATTGGAATTGAAAGAAAAGACGTGAAAACACACTGATTAACTGTGTTTAAATTTTAACAAAATTGTAGTGACAGGCTTTTCATTTGTAAGGTCAGAAAAAGGGATATTTCAATTTCGTGGACAAAATTTGAGTAATACGAGCCGTAAATAGTAGACTATTTTGGTGATTCTATTTTTAATATTTGCAGGCCTTTATGGAAGAACTCACTGGCAAAAAACAAATTATAGAAAGAATAAAGGAGCTGTCTGATGAGATTCTCCAGAACTGTCACCCGAACGCTGTGCGGTTTGTGAGGTATTACCTGACTATCACCTCCACGCGATGGGAACAGGTGAGCAGACGACATTTCTTTGACGTTTTAGCTCAAACATTTAATGATTTAACATTGGTACTATATAAAACGAAAAAATGGATAGAGATAGGTAAAACCGATCTGATATTGGGATACTTGAGTACGCTAGACCCCAGTATTCAAACTTGAGTTTCCACGACAGTGAATTTCTAACATCACAACCAGAGTAATTTTAACTGCAATTGGATTTTTAAAAACGAAGGGAGTTTAGGGTACCGTGTCCTATAGTAATCATGCCAAATCTTGTGACCATATTGAACTCCTTGATAGATGTGTATAGATCCAAGTTATGTGCTATTTAGGCGCTTACCCGAGCAGAGAATAGAACTGTTAAGCTACAAGAGGCTCTGAAAAACATCCGTGGTAATGCCGCCCTGCTGGAGGAGCTCTTAGCCTGGGTCACGGAGGCTCAGGCCCTGGTCTCCGCCAAAGAGAAGGACCCTATACCCGAAGACATGACAGTCGTGGAGGCCCTCCTCAAAGAGCACGTGGTAAGTGTTTTATTTTTCTAGAAGTCTCAAATAGTCTCGCGAGATATTTTAAATGAATGAGACAAATAGGCAATCAAGTTTGAAGACTTTTGCCTGGCTGGCAGACTTTAAAAAAAAATGATGCAAACGTTTGTCACGTCACCAAAAAAGACTCTTTTTTGTTTGATGGTATCAGAATAAGTCACATTCAATAATATTTATTTTTTTTAGGAATTTCATGAAGACCTAGTGTCAAAGAACACTGATGTAGAGCGTATTGCAAATATGCCGATACGTGGCTACAAGCGCAGGGAGAGCAAAGGGTAGGTTTTGATACTTGAACCATATGTTCCGTTGTATAAAGAAAATGTGTGTATCTCTGCTGCATGTGATTTATTTAAACATACTGTTGGGCCAGACTTGGTTTTCAGCACATTTACACTGCTCACTGCTTTGACCAAATAAAATATTGGAGTAGCTTTCTTCTTTTTCTGCTCACTTTCCAAATTGTCGCATTATTTTCTCTATAAGCTAAATTTGATCTTTAACTCTCAAATTTAATAGCCATATCTACCGAGCAGTATTAACCAGCATATAATTTATTTTGCAGTGCCAAAACCCCAGAGGCGGAGATGATCCAGAATCCTCGGCTGACCACACTACAGAACAAATGGCGGGCAGTATGGAGAATGTCGGTTGAAAGGAAGAAAAAGTTGCAAGATCTCTACGAGCATTTGTTAGAGGTAATATATTTCATTGTCTGCATTGTATAAATCCATCAGGATTTTTTTCACTTTTGTTGAACGGTCATCGAAATGAAAATTTGATGTAACTTGTTAAGTAGCTTCCACTGTGCAAACAGATGATACCATGAAGATAGGATATTTGATGATTGATTTAGTAATAAAGCCAAATGGAAATGTATAAATTTCCTCTGTAAAAACACAATGCTTAATATTTTAAAAATACTATATTTTGCAGTTGGAAAGCTTCAAGAACTTTGATTTTGATCTGTGGAGGCAACGGTATATAAACTGGATCAAAGCCAAAAAGTTCAGGATAACAGATTTCTTCAGACGCCAGGACAAGAAAGGTGATGGATTGCTCCCCCGGGCAGACTTTGTAGATGGCATGATGAATTCAAGTAAGTGGTTGACCTGAGGGTCTTCCCCTTTCTCTGTGTTGAAATTAAAAGCAATATATCATTTACTATTGCACACGTGCATATCTGACATTTTGGTTTTACTGAAACATTCTCAACACTAAGACTTGGAAATTCTTATGTAGGTTCTTACTAACAGTTCGAAATACTGATTAACAAATGCAGTAGGGGTTGAACATTTTCGTTTTCTCTTGCTATCATTTAGGCCCACTTTGAATATTAAATTAATCACATTATGTTAACATTTTCAGAATTCCCCACCACCCGCACAGAACTGAATGCAGTATTTGACATATTCGACAGAGATAATAAAGGGGAGATAGACTACAGAGAGTTTATTGAAGCGCTAAATCCAGTAAGTATTCGACCTTAATGTATGCGCATATAATCAAGCATTACCAAGGCATTCATTGTATAAGTATATACACATTATGTTTAGTTTTTGGTTAAAAAGGTTTACTGGTTTATAATGGCAATAAGTTTCAATACAGTAAGATACTTTCTACTGACAGAAATGATCGTATGTAAACACCACCGCATTGTGGAATTATCTTGAATTTTCAAAAATCCTGTGTTTACATAAAATTGAATGTAAATAACGTACTTCAAGGCAATTGCGATAAACTAATTTTTTCAATTTCAATTATAGCGATCAAAACGTGCCAAACGTCCCGCTACAGACGCAGAGCAAATTCATGATGAAATAGAACGCCAGTGTTCCACCTGCACGTGTAGGACGCAGTTCAAATCTGAGAAACTGGGAGAAGGAAAATATCAGGTACAGCGTTGATTTTATCAAATTAAGCGTGTCAGTATGAAGTTCGTTTTATGGGTATTTGAAAATGGAACTGGTTGGGTAAAAAATTTAGTGGAAAGTTGGGGATGTTCGAGTTTGGAGCTGAAACCACGATTGAAGTGGCTCTTGTCGTTATCATTTCTCCCTAATTGGCATTTAAGGTGCCCAGTTTCTAGTTTTTTATTGTTTAAATATAAATATGGATGATAATTATTTTGACCATAATGAAATTTAACTGGTTTGCATGCATCATCTGTATCATCAAAGACTATGTGATATCCTATTTCATAACCAATTTTGACCATGTTTCCTTTATTCTTCCAGTTAGGGGAGAGTCGCAAGGTTGTATTGGTCCGCTTCCTGAACCACACGGTCATGGTGAGAGTTGGCGGCGGTTGGGTAACTCTTGGAAAGTTTCTGGAAACGCACGACCCATGTAGAGGTGAGTAGAACGCATGTCACGGCTTTATTTATACCGATTATTTTTCTTTTGGATACCACGTTGTCAGATATTAACTTGCTTTCAAAAAGTTGGCATTGAAGTCAGCCAACTGAAAGCTACAACTCAGTTTTCAAGCTAAAGTATGTTTTGATTTATATTATTTGGTACTTTGAAATTGTCAATTTGGTTAAAGGTCGAGAGATAATTTATCCTATTTTTCCTTTTGAATTGAGAAGGGATAAATCCTTTTGCATTTTTGGTCTCTAAGTTCAAAAAGCACCGTGGGATATATAAAATGACACAGACAAGCTACAGCAAATGGTGTATTGAAGCAGGCATGTGTGAGATCTGCCTTGGGCTGATTTTGCTGCAGATATGAATTTATGTGAATGTGTAAATAGTCATACTGCCATCATGTTGTCGCCAAAGTAGTGAGACCGTATAGGTTGTGGGCTGCTAATGATATATCAGTGCCTCTTATAGTGAAATGAGTTTTTTTGTTTTATTTCTCTCTAGAAATTTCATTTTATTTTAAGTTCAGTTTGACTTGTTGTTTGTTGTTAACATGTAACGTATACGTGATATGGGATGTCAGTAGTTGGCTGACGTGATACGACTTTTGCACAGAGCATCCGTTTTTTGGCATGTGAGTTTTTGTTTGTTTTCAGCAAAAGGTAGACTTAATACCGAACTAAGGGAACAGCTTGTTTCCCCAGAAGGGGCGGCGCATACACGCGCCACATTCACATCTAAGCGACCCGGTCAATCCAACGGTCATTTGTTATCTCCTCCCACTCCAGGTACGTGCACGAGGTTCACAGTGTGTTAGTTGAGACAGGTGGTGGAGAAGGAATTGTGTTGGGCGGTGGCGGTCGCTTATTTTAGCAGAACACCTCTTTTTCTCTTAGCACATCACCAAATGGGGTTATTCCATTTCGAAGACTTGTGGACTGGGGGTAGGGGGTATCAGGGTGGTGAAGTACAGCTGAGTTATTTGCACTCGGGGTGAAGTCGTGTTTATTTTGTATATTAACAAAATATGCTCGGGAAAGGAACAGTGCATTTTCTTTTTGTTTGCAAGAATGGAATAACCCAGTTTTCATGGTATGTCTTGTTTCACTGTATGCCCCTTTTAATAGTTTGTTCTTGTTATAAATGCATGTTTGTCTGTGTATTTTGCAAGGAAGTTGAATTCTTTCAAGCGTGGAAACTAAATGAGCTGAGCTTGACTAACTTTGCCTTCTTTATAGCCTCTAACCCTAGGAGCGGGACAACAGCCAAAGGCCGCAATAGTAGCGGTTGTACTTCTAGTAGTAGCAGCAGTAGTAGCAGGAGTAGCGGTATCCCTGTGCGTTCAGGGCTCCAGCAGCCTAGAAATCTTGCTTCAACTAGGCACATATCTTCATCTCTCTCTCGTCTAAGCGGGCACCCTGATCCCTATGGACATTCTTCGTCCTTCCAGCTAAAGCCAACGGGTTTTACACATTCTTCTCTCACCAATATACAGGAGGCAGCTGCAGGTAGAATGCAAAAAGAAAATAAAAAAGCTGTGCCGAAATCTTAAGAAGCATTTTACACAATTGCAGAATAAATTGTTGATAAAGTACACCTCGTTAATGAAGCTTCTTTACGCTCAAGTTGCAGTGAATGCATGAATTTTTGTTGCTGCTAACGTATCATTAGATGAGATCATTTTAACAATCCCTTTTCTTGTTAAAACAACAATCAGCCATCTAATAAGTAGAATATCAATTTAGCATTTAACATTTTAAGATTAATTTGGTTGATAATTAACGGGATAAAAACGAGTGATTCGGCATGACTGACTGGTCTTTCACCTGCATGCCCCTACCTGTCTGACTAAATGCCCTCCTCTGACCTTGTAAATCAACACCTTTCACTATCTGTCTATGAATGCCATGTGCACACAATATTGATTCGTTTTTCAGATCTAAAGATGACTGTGATTTTTTATCTCTTACGTTTTTGACTTTGTTTGTATTGTATTTGCATGTTTATCTTTTAATATATTTTAATTCAATATTCTTCGTTCTATTTGTTTGGATATTGCTGTATGTAGTTCATTAATGTGCCTACACGTTAGGACCGATATGGACCTTGGTTGATTGTTTATTTAATTCAGTTTTGATTTTAGAATATTTTTTTCCTCTTTTTTCCATATGTTACCCATGCATGAAGATATTTTTTCCTTTTGTATCTTAATAAAATGAACGAATCATACTTGCAGGGAATTTGAAGAAGAGTAGTTCAAACTCAAGTCTGGCTTCCACTGGTTCTTCCGGAAGTCGCGGAAGTAGAACACCGCGCATGTCGACCGCAAAAACAACCACGAAGAAAAAAGGGTCCACTCCTGGTAACAAATAATACGTTACCTGCGTTTGCCCACATATACAAAGGCACTTTAAGAGTGCTGTTTTAGTATTTTCTTAAAGAAGGCAATAGCATATTAATAATGTAATATAACCAAGGGATTTTAAAGAAATAATTGTGCAAAGAAGATCAGAGCAGCTTCGCCCCAAGTCAAGTGCAAAATGCCCAGCCGAAGCTGATTCTCACGCAGTGTACCAAAGCTCAATCAGCTGTGCTTCCCCGCAAATGCCAGAGGCCGTTTCTTTTATTGATGATAAGAATTGAATGATTTTAATACCAGTTGATATAGGCCTATTGACTTCGCAGTAGGCGACACTAAAAACGTGATTGCTTTGCGTTCGTTACGTATGTCACAAAGAATTCGATTTTAACAGCATAAAATGTTCCTTGATTTTGTAAATAAAGCATGACATGTATGTAAAAATGTGTATAGAAGTAATATCTGACTCACAGACCATGGCGCAAAAAGCGCTTATCTTAATTCCAACATTTTTGATACTGGAAAAGTCACACCAACGTTGTGACCGATATTTTATTGAACGGTTATATGGAGAAACCGTTTGAAATATAATGATTTAAAGTATAACTTTTATTAAGTGGTACTATTTATTTTAGTATATACATGCATATTTTATAAGGAAAAGGTTATTAGTTTTGGGCTCATTTAACTCATTGTAGATTCAGAACTTTTACTTCATTTACTATCAATTAATCAAAGCTTTTATACATACCCAGTTGATCAGGCGCACTACAGTAAGACCACTGGATAAAACGCTGGCTTGATTTTATAAATGGCTGGATAGGCCTGTGTTTATAGTTAATTAGAAAATATAGGGGTAAACCACAATTAAAAATCTCATGTGACAAAAAGGAAAATGGTTAAGTAGTGATTCATTCCTTTTTCAAAGCATCGCTGTGATGTTATTAAGATCACGAATCTATGTCATGGTCAGTTAGGGCTATAAAATGCCTCCTGAGGACAGTCATATTGAGTTGAGAAACTTTTTTTGTCATGTTTTATTATTGAATGTCAAGCAGATGCCAGAGCTATTATAAGGAACATTGAGAAGAAACGGTTATTGTTATTTTTCCTTGATATTTGTTATAACGTTTGATCTAATGGCAAGAAAGAAATAAAGATACCATATAAATTAATCTAGTTGATTGTTGTTGCCCGTTAAGGCTCGTGTACCACCACTGCTAACTATAGTGTTTTTATTGATTTGTAACATGTGCATGTAAGAGCAAGTCGCACTGCGGGAAGCAAGAAAAAAATGGATAGGTTCCACCGAGATTTGAACTCGGATCGCTGGATTCAGAGTCCAGAGTGCTAACCATTACACCATGGAACCTTCCTTTCGAATATTTCATGCTAAATGTTAAAAACTAAATGAAATTACATTTGTCTTCTGATTAATAAGTGTGGAATCAGATTAATTGAAAAAAGGTGTTTTTTTTAGTATTTTTATAACTTATTACAGAAAGTTTTGTCATTTGGGTACGTGAACTATGAATTTTGTCTAATACTTGCAATTGTCTTGAAAAAATGAAACGGATAGTCACACTGTGGGAAGCAAGAGAAAAGATAACTAGGTTCCACCGAGACCGGATTGCTGGATTCAGAGTCCATAGTGTTAACCATTACACCATGGAACCGTATTTGTTCACGCCTAACGTACGCATTAGAAGCTAAATGAAATTAAATGTCTTCTGATTAATACGTCCGGAATCAGATCAATTTCAAGGTGTTTGTATTATTATAACTTACAGAAAGCTGTGATACATGAACCATGATTTTGCCTCGGTGGAATCTATCCATTTTGACTTCCAATTGTCTTGAAAAGAGTGAAAATAGATAGGTTCCACCGAGATTTGAACTCGGATCGCTGGATTCAGAGTCCAGAGTGCTAACCATTACACCATGGAACCCTTTACATCGTCTTACCTGTCTTCACCTGTACAACTTTTCGACAGATAAAGATGTTTTAATTATAGTTCTGATTCTGACAGGTGCAGATAACGAAGCAAGCTGTTCATATCTATCGAGAGATCTGTTATGATTATCGTGAAGGCTCTAAAAACGGACCCCATATTTAACCATTAATTAATGAGTTCTTCACTGCCCGGCCGGGAGTTTTTTAGAACTGCGCGTTTACCACATAAGTAACAGATCTAAATGCTTACATATTTCCGGGCCTTTATTCCAATATCAACAATTTGATTTCTGCTGTTCAAAATATTTTTATTTGTCTGTTCATTTCTAAATATAGAAAAAATTCTTCAGTGACATTTGTCATTGCGTAGAGCATTTCTTACACATATAGTGTAATGCACAATGTGATCGTATTTTTGTGTCTTGTTTCCTGTATTTACATATACCATAATGTTTAAACAATGTTAAAATGATCAGTCCATATATTAAAAAGTGGAAGTCGTTTACCCCCCCCCCCCCCCTCGCAAAATGCGCGTGTAAATAATATAAAGAGTATCAGAGCTTTTAAACCGTTTGCGACAAGCTATAGTCAAGCGAGAGATAATCGAAAGCCCCATAAAGTTCAGGAAACAGTTTACAAAATAATTTTCAAACTTTTATTTTTCATGGTGATAATATTGAATTTGGCACAATTTAGGAAAATACATTTTGCGAAGGCGCCTCCCCCCTCCTGAAACTATTTATCAACAGTCAATTTAATAACGAACTGAAGGCTGTAGCCCTGTTATTTTGATTACATGAAACAAGCCCAACGTTTTCCTTTTCACTGTACTATATCAATTGCAATTCTTCGCTCATTTAATGTTTAAGTTAAAATGAATGGTTTTCAGGGATCAAAGCATGTATGATGTATCTTCTGCGTCCGCGTAATCCTGCGTACATGTAAATCGAGCCGTCTTTAATCCCTTCCCTGCTATATGTTCTGATAAAATAAACTCGGCGAGTTCCGTGTACCCCTCACTCCTTGCAAACTCCTCGGCATCCATGTAGAATGTTAAAACAGTCCCATCCGGCTGCAACACTCGACACTGAAATAACAAAAAGATTTTATCAGAACTTGACTCATTTCAACCATTTTTCAAATAAAGCCAACTTGTTTAGTTCAAATCCGTTTCGTTTTTTTTTTTCGTCGAAAAAGAGTGCAATCTTTATAATAAGCTACACGTGGGACACAGTGAACATCATAACGACATCAAAATGCAGCTATGATTATTCTTCGTATGATTTTCATACAGACATAAACAGATTTTATGAGACATTTCACTCACCTTCTCTTTCCTCTTTGTATCTGCGCCATTCTGCACCAGCCATTTTACTAAGTCTGCTTTACCGTGTTCTATCGCCAAAAAGACTAGGTCTCTGAACCCGCGAAGTAGTTCTACGCCACACGGTTCCAACTAAAGAGAGAAAATGGTTTAGAGGTTAGTCAGTGAATGTTTTTTCTGTACCATTCTTTGTCGACGGGATCCGAGAGAGCAGTTATAAAACGCTCCTTTTGATAACACCCATCAATAGCAATGATTGTTATGACAATCTGCTAAAGGTGTTTCATTATGTCTGCTAAAAAGGTTGGAATTTGCCCTCAGGTAAGGAAAGTTATCTGCAGTTTTAACTTACAATTTTTGGAAAATCTGCGACTGAAAATTTGGAATCTTCCATTTCCCTGATGAGATGTTTGAGTTTTTGGGACTGCGAAACGATAACTGAGCGTAGTTCTTCGTACTGAAAAAAGTGTACAGTTTTCTTATATTTTCACACTCTAACATATGTTTTTTTTCTATACATAATAAAATATATGTATAAAAGGCAATGTAATACGACCCCTATATTTTAAACAAAAATTATCAAAACAAGGATATACATAATAATTCAGCATTTAGTGTCGACACTGGTACATTGTGAGACTGGTTCAGATGAAGACAAAAGAGAATTTAATCCAAATTTGTTGATTATTCACCTTATCTACACAACTGATTTCTAGCTCCATCCCACAAGGCGCCTGGAAATAAAATCGACAGTAATAGACACCGGCAAATAATGCTTGTTTGGTTATAACAAGCTAGTGAGGCGAGCTTTTTTATTTAAATGTATGTAGTTTGATGTTTAAAACATAGTATTAATGACAACAATATTAAAAAGTTTGAGCGCTGTTAAAAGGAAATACACACATTTCGTAACTCTTCCAAGAATGTAGTCTTTTCTTTGTCGTCCCAGTTTAGTATTTGTTGACTCGTCACACCTCTCTGCAATGAAATAAAATGTCATCAGTTGTCTGTTGGTCTTTATATGTCATCCCTTGCTTAAATAAGAAACAACATCTATTTCTGTGATTAATTATACGATATTGCAATTAATGTCTCATCAATCCTCAAATCCCTCTTATCTCAACTAACACAATGGGATTGACAATGCGGCTATCTTTACCAAAGAAAAAGGTGTTTTTCTTATGTTTAGAATACATTATCACATTAGCATGAAAGAATTATTCTATCATGCTGTACGTTTACCAAGTCTTTTGCCGTTTGGTCAGCACCACACTTGAGAACCATGGAATACATGTTATGCTCTCCCGACAATGTGGCTGCATAGTGTAGAGAAGTTCGCCACAACTGAAATGAAATACCATGTACATGTAATACCCAAATATTATTCCAAAAAATTAATAGTAAACTGATATTATTCATTATTTCCATTTAAGTTATCGCATGTTAAATGTTAAGTGCTCTTTAAAAAAATATTCTGACAAGACAAAAACGCCCAAGCAAATATTTTTTGAAATTAGTAATGAAACACTGTTGGCAAAACATAAGAGTCAAAATTATGTAAAAACCTCACATTATCTTTGTCCTCCAAGGCCAGCCTTTTGTCACAGTCGTAAAGCAAGTACTGAGCTGTCTCCTCCTGGCCGTGTAACAAGGCCTTCAGTAAAGGGGTGCGTCCACCCTGCAATATTGAGAATGCTATAAAGTATACCTGTACATGCTTTCGAGGAGAGAGAGAGAGAGAATAAAATGTTGTTTTGCTTGTATGCCCATTTAAGTAGAGACTGACAATAACTTAGATAGCATTAATTTCAGCCAGTTCTCTATCACAATGTAGGATTATATGTATTTCTGTATTTGTCGTAAGTTTGGCATGCTATTATTTAATCGCATAAAGAAATAACAAACCTTGTCTTTGGACCTGATAAGCATTTCTTGTTTGAATTCAGTGCCATTCAACAAGTTTCTTAGTGACTTAATGTCTCCATTCTGAGCTGCCACGTGGATTTGGGCCACGGTCGCTTGGAATTGCTTTAGTTGTTTTAGAAAGTTCATAACGTCCTTTGTCTCGTTCCCCGCTGCGTACAACACAGTGTCCCTGTACTAAAATTATTTTTTCGGTTGAAACAATTTATTTAATTAACAAGTAAAACATTTCATACATTTTCCCAGAAAGAAAATAAGTAATTATGAACCTGAGCAAAACTGAATCAGTCAATTCAACGCCATCAGCATGGATGTCAGGTGACAGACAAAGGTGATTTCGGATCGTAAAAATAGTAAACTATTTCATTCAATTTCTGTTACTAGTGCTTGAATAATTAATCAGTTTTTTAAAGTTTAAATACAGAAAAGGTTTCCTGGTTAAAGTTATTAAAAGTACTTGCGGCGAAACCCGCTGTGCTAACGCTACTTACATTATACTCAAAGAAGAAGCCATCGTATCCATTCTGTGCCAGGCGCTCCAGGGAAGGTACATCAGAGCTTCGGATGAGACCGATCATATACTGTAATTGAGAATTTGTTCAGTGACTTGTTGTTCACTCAGTTTTATTTTTTATATCTGATTTATATATATAATTATCCATTTACTTGTTCTGTATTTCTTTTTAATGCTCCAGTTAGTGCTTATTTTCAAAATTTGTGGCATGTACCAAAACAGAGTCGGAATTTTGAACCACTGTGCGTGTACAGTAAAGTCTGATCTATTAGTGAAATCTTATAAACTTAGGGTAATAAAATTCACACTTCTTTGTCGTCTCGTCGACTTACCTAAATTCACACTACCAAGTCCAATAAAAATCAAGTCATGATCATTGTGTCATTAGAACCTGGGTCATGTAATGAAATAACTAAATGGCAATGTGTGCCTGGGTTATTGGGAATACGTGTTTTTAAATAGCGTATAATCTACAGGAATGGTTTGAGCCGGGTACAATGTACATGTATGACCAACCTGGTCGATAATCCCAACAATGTCCTTCCGTCTCGAAAGTTTTGCTATATCTCTTGCAGTAAGGCCAGTCTGAAAAAAAAAACAAGTGTGAGGTTAAAGTATTACTAGCTCTATCAGCAATATATTATATGTTATTAAATCTTTTTAAACATACATATATAAACATACATTAATAATTGTACTTTACTCAGGTGTGCTAAAGTGAACAACCATGCTGTACTGGAGCAATAATGCTTTTGGCAATGGAGTGCTAGTGGTCAGAATATACAAGAGCTGATACTTCTACGTCTGCTTTAAGTGGACCACACCTTTATGTGATACCACTTGGAATTCATACATGTACTAGTATGGCTACGCATGGACCTAATGAGAGTCTCTCATTAGGTCCATTGGCTACGTATATTTGAAAAGCGTGCCCTCTCAATACTCACTACATCTCGTTCCGCTATATCCACGCCTTGTTCTATAAAATACTGGATCATTTCCGTGCTGACGTAGCCGTTGGACTTATCCATGGCGTACATGAGTGCCGTCCGTCCACTCTGAATCACACAAAATATAATACATAATACAAACTATTGATTTTTGGCATTATTACACAAGGCATGTTGGATTGATCATCACTTCAGATGTTTAGAAATAGAAAAGTATTACGTTATTTTTTAAGTGGCCTAGCAGGTTAGATGTAGAAATGCAAATAAAAATCGCGCGCGCGGGCGCGTGTCTACAATTTTATTTTCTTTGAGTAAATTTAAGTGTGCATGTATAAAAACCCATTATTTTGGCTACTGGATAACATACGTGTAGCGTAATTATTTTTCCCCTGTTAACGTTACCATCTCTGGCAGATATCATTTTACTAACCTCGTCCTTCAAGGTGTAATCTACGGTGTCTGAGTTCAGCACAGTCATCATTGAAATTGGATTGGCTTTTTCATTGATAACTTCGAAATAAAGAGGAGCCTTGGGTTGTTAAAAGGAAAAGACGTGTAAGCATCATGATGTATACTAGATAGGAGGCAGGGATCGACAGAAATTAAATCATAAAATAATTCGCTTTCGTGAAAATCCACATCATACTAAAACTTTAATATTAAGTGTGAATTAGATCCACAACGACTAGAATACTCTTTCCTCAAAAAATCTCTGAATAACAAAACACCACCCATTCGTATCCATTAATTATCGCCTCTGTTGGTTATTTATGTATATTGTTGAGAGGACAAATATAAAAAAACACTCACTCTTATGTACCCATGTACCAACAAGTTTGTGTTGACATCTGCTCCTGCGTCACACAGCAAAGTGATCATCTCTGTGTCCCCCAGTGTAAGGGCGTACTGCAAGATGTGCTGCTTAGCCGCTCCCTGGAGCGAAATACGACACAAGTGACATATAATGAAGTGTTAAAGTTGCTTTAAACTTTCAGGCATCAGCAGCCTTAAGACGGAATCTTCATATCATTCTCACGTAATACATGTGTAAAGAAAATATGGAAAATTTGCATAATATGGAAATCCGATTCCAACCTGTTTTTTTTTTTTCGACGGTTTGCCACCTAAAAAAAATAGGGGGCAAGTCTGGGGCGAGGGGGAATGCAGTTGAGAGTTTATGCAAGGGGTTGGTCTAAGAAGGGATCACATTGAGGGACGAGCCCTATCCTGAAATTTATTTCATATTTAGACAACGCTGTATGTGTACACTAAATATACAGCAATTCCCTGACTTGGGCTATTGCGGTATATCAGCATGAGTGTTTGTAAAGACTGCACTAAAACGCGCAAAGAGGAACGGGTTCAATTTAGCCCAGGATCCAACATTTGAATACCAGATTTAGCTAAATATCTACAGTATTTGACTCCCAGTCTTTGGTATTAGAAAATTTAAACAGAAATAGTTAAGTAAGTTTCAGACAAATATATCGTTTTTTTAGAACACTCAACCAACGACGTCAATTGAACGTCCTTGACTAAACTTACAGATCTTTAAAGATCTGGCAAATGCAAAACATTATTCTATTATTAGACAATTCTCTGAGTATGAGAACCTATAACGAAGGAAAGAGGTGGCATTGATCAGTAAGCCTAGCACTTTCTACAACCCTCTTTCTTGATGGTGTTTTAAATTTATTTTTGTAACTAAAATGCAATTAATTAATTCCATTTAGAATCAAACGTGATTACTGGCTGATTACCTCCCACAACACCGCCTACGCTTCATACTACGGCATCTGTATCAGCTAATGAACCTGAACATATTGAACTGGCATCATAAGCGACAGATTATTTCAAACCATGCACTATACCACATAAATGAACAGAGAAACTTCATTTAAATCAATCCCCAAAATAAATAAATAAACAATTAAATAAACAATAAGATGAAGACATAAATAAACGGAACTTTTGTTATCAACCTTAAAGAAAATAAGTTGTGTTATTTTCTTTTATTTGGTTCACTGACCAGATTTACTGATTCGCAATACTGATACTTGGAGGGGCTCGATGTTATAGTCACCCACCTTATTAAGAAAATTGACGTCGCACGGTTTCTGGAGAGCCTGTCTTAGTTTTTCCACATCAGCCTCAAGAACCGCATATATGACGGCCTATAAAAACATACTTAACTGACAGTTATGGAAACTCAAATATGATATCAAACAATTTAGGTGAAAGAAAATAATAGAACAACGGACAGAGAGAGAGAGAGAGAGAGAGAGAGAGAGAGAGAGAGAGATTTTCATCCTAAATGTCTAGGACAGCTGAGCGATGAAATTAATTCCATGCAGAAAGAATTGTTAAGAATTAGCAAGAGACATCTGTGACTATCTAGTGAAAAATCAGTCTGTGGCCCTGGTAGAATCTGGTGGAGGGTACTGAATTTCCCCTTTCTAAGTAAATTAACTAGTGTCAATACGGCACCAATGCAAAAATATTGTCTATCTCCGCTCCCTACGGATTAAATCACACTATAAATGACAACCGAATATGAATACTGACCAAAGTTGGTTTCATCTTGTCAACCAACAACACCATGTCTGTGTAGTGTTTGCTGGCAGCATAGCGTATGAGCTGGCACCCATTCTAAAACGTCAACAAAATCACCATGTAAGCAATATATTGCAAACAGCCTCATTCTTTTATGAATGTAACTGGAGACATACTGGTTTTATACAAAGGAATGTCAAAAGATGTATCGTAATTGTTCATTTAAATTCATAAGTGTTGTTCATATAATGATATTGCAATTAACTTATTAATTCTGGCGTCTTTAAAACATTTCTTACATTGTGCTAGTTTGTTTAGAAAAATCTGATTTGTGTGTTTTATTTTTCTTAAAGACAACAAAAGGAAGAATAGAAAATAAAACACGCTTTCACTAACCCGTTCTACACTGAGCTTACACCAGTTTTGGATCAGTTCGTCTAAGCGCTGGAGATCGTGGTCCTCGATAGTTTGGAAAGGACCTGGCTGTAACAGATATATTCATTCCACTTACAATATGATACAGTATGATACAGGTAGCTGGGGATATGATTCGTAAATGTGGTCATTTCTTAAAAGACTTGGGTAACACGTCACCGATATTTAGCTATGCAGCGACCCCCTGCGAATAAGATTACTTTCCTCCACATGAACCCAGTAAGTCCGTCAAAGGCGATGATACATGTATCTTATCAAAAGACTGAAACTCGACGAACCCTATACCAAACGAACCCTATACTAGTATACTATATACTTGGAAGAGGATATATACATGTATATTTATGTATAATATGATATAATGCGATAAAGATTTGCACAATTTGATGTGTATTGAAATTTAAGTCAAATTTGTTTCAGTTGTCCCCCCTCATTGCTATGATCCTCAACGTCCCTTCTTTCATGTCATGCTCACAAAAGTAACAAATTTAAACAAAATATTGAACACTTTCCCACTTACGCTATATTTCTTGTAAAAATCGTGCCAGTATTTACAGTGTTGAGGTATCTCCTCGGCCAATTTATTAGCCTGAAAAAATGATAAATGAATAAAATACACTCGAATCGTAACGTAAATATAAACAAGGATTAGGAGATTAAGATTACAGCGCTGACAAAAAGGGGGGAAACAAATTTACTTCTAAATTTACACCCTGAAAAGAAAGAATTATTTCCTACGTGATTTTAAGGCTTTTGCTAATGTTTTATATTGACTTACTTTATTTCTAATAAAGGGATCCACCCCGCATGCCATAAGATCGGCCACGTGGCCGGGCTCGTTGTGAAGTGCTGTCACGTGGAGAGCAGTGCTTCCGTCCTAGAACGAGCATTAAGATGCTACAGGGTTGCCGACATATTTTTTAGCCATTGATTCCACGACAACGACACCAAATAAATCTTATTATAAATATTATTAATAGAAAATAGAGAATGGAATAAACTGTAACCCGAGAATAAATATAATCGAGAGTCAAGCTTGAAATGAACACCATATTAATATCCACTCCCTTTATATAAGAATTTTAGACATATTGCAAATAGCACTGAAGAGTAATGAGGAGCAGCGTAGGAGGAGTAGACGTTATTTTTACACAGAAGCCTTTGATGTATTCAATCATTTTGAATAAAGTTAGAGTAGGAGGTCGGCTCACTGCTGATGTAAGGGCAAGCTCTTCATTGTCCCCTCATGTTTTATTTTCAATTTTTCTTGACTTGATTTATATTTAAACCATCGGTGAGGCATAATTAGTGCGAACATCGCGTGCATGCTACTTTTCCCAGCCGCACATTGTTCTTGACACACAACGCCCTCCGGTGTCAACAAGGGTGAAAAAAAGGTGACGCGTGACGTTATTACAACAACGCTGGTCTTGCGTATTTCAATTTGATATGCAGAGCTCTTAGAGGGAAAGCGGGGGATTGGGGCGCTCTGGAGAGACCAGGAGATGCAGTTGTCGATGTTCCAATCCAAATCATTTTCAACACAACCTCCAAGCGTAATTCAAAAAAACAAATAGAGGAGATAAAAAACATTCGTTTGTTCATATCTAAAAAAAACTTTTTTCTTTTAACGTGTGTGTGTGTGTGTGTGTGTGTGTGCGTGCGTGTGTGTGTGTTTGCGGTGAATTTGTTTCATTACTCACCTTATTTTGAGCGTTGATGTCGATATCTGCTGCAACCAGTGTGTGGAAAATGAACGGGCGGTACATGGTGCACACATAATGTAAGTAAGTGTTGCCTTTCTGCAATGCAATGCGTGATCTTTATTTTTGTCAATATCGTCTTTTCATTTCTTTTTATTTATTTTTGATTACATATTCTAAATTATTGTCATGCTGAAACTACGAAAATTATCTTATCCACAAAATACATCAATCCATTCATTAAGCATTTTATATCAAGCTAATATCTACCAGACTGAGGACCACGCGTAATAATGTGATTTAGTACACATACCGTATGTGTACTTGATGTTATTTTTGTCACACGCATACACACACGTGTGACAAAAATATTTAAAAAGTCATTAATCATAGTAGTTTAAGAGCAACTCACTTTATCCTTATAAAGTACGTCATCCACATCGACTTCACGTAAATATCTCTTCCTGTTGACATCTGACTTAGTGGCAATCAATCTCTTTAACAGATACAAGTCTTCACTGTAAATCGCCTTGCCTATGGCAGTCTTAAAGAAAGAAGCAAGTTAGAGTAGATGGCAAATATATCAGAAGCTTCATATATCTCATTGGCATTTGGGTCACTGTAGCTTTTTTTAAATCAATCTTTAATCATCAGACACACATTCAGAGAGAAAGAGAGAGAGCAGATTCAAGAATTATATGTATACTTGAATACACTGATTTTGCACGCTTTTACGCACACACCAACGCGCACACGTGTGATAAGCAAGTTAAATAGCAACAGCAACGACATGCAGCCATAATGGAGCGTTCCAAGCCTACCTGTTCAAGCTCAGACATCTCCCCTGCCATGTTGAGCTACAGTAATGCCTTCAAATGATCGATATGAAAACAGAGATCCTGCAAGGAAAGAATAAACAATACTATAATCACCCGATGAACCTGAACAGAAATAATTCTAAAATTTAAATGGTTCGTATGAGTTCAACAAGTACCGGGTAGGTGTACATCATAAGGACAAACAGGCATGCATGGAGACTGCTCGCGATGTTGTCATGTAAATAAAAGTTTTGTTGACATAAAAGGTCAAATGTACTACTATCTGTCAAATTATTCGTTTAACCGTCGTTATTTAATTTGTTAACTCTTAATTCATGACAGTACTTGATAATATAGTCTACATACCGTATGTTACGTGTAACCATTACATGTAGTTCACTGTAAAATTGGCTACAAATACAACATTGTTTGTGAGACGCCAGCTACCGAACTTTTAGAAGTGTTGTGATTCTAAAATACTACCAACCACCATTGAGAAAAAACAAAATGTGAAATCGCTGGTATAGGCCATATTCATATTGCAGATTTGTTACAAGTGCATACATGTACGTAGTTATTACAGCGTATATGCGATATGCCCTGCTCTTCAGCAAGCTGTATGTTTAATCACACATCTCTCTCAAGGTGACTTAACATTCAGCAGAGAATCACAAGATGTTTGTCGATCACACGAGCAGAAAATCGCACTTACTTTGAGCCCGATTTCCTCGCGAAGGTATAAGTCTTGACTTCTTTCTCTCCCAGCTCCACTGCAGGTCGCCATCTTGTATCCATTGTAAACAATGTATTGAATATCGACCATGGTGTGCTGTGTAAACTGTGGACCCAGCACTTGAAAGGCGCAGTTCTTGTGAAAAGATTTGGAAGATCAATTGTTATTTAAAACGCTTAATCCTAAGTGACGAACATTTAAAGTTGCACACTGATTTAAACGCGTCGACGAGACCATGAAATATGTCTTTCATGCAATATGTGTCGAGTTTTTTCTTAATTCCTTTTCTTGAAGTCCATGCTCTCTCTCTCTCTCTCTCTCTCTCTCTCTCTCTCTCTCTCACACACACACACACACACACACACATTTTTTTCAAGCGCTCGCTTCCTTTCTTACGTGCGTGGTTTTATTTGGGGGGGGGGGGGCAAACACAACTTGTAGATAGATAACTGAAAAAAACATATGTGCAACACAAATACTTTAAAAATGAATATTTTAAATGTCTCCAGTATTTAACAGAAAGTTTCAATGATCGAAGATCGATGATGAACTCAAATATTTTTTTCAGATCCATTTCCCGCCGCATTTATTTGCAAAGAAAACGACTATTAGATTAGTCAGTTGGGAAATGTGGGCTTTTTGTCCAACCAATTCCCATAGTGATAAATCGGCTTTAAAAAGGTAAAATTCTCCGAAATTCAATATCTAGATTTTTTTCGTTTTCGTCGAATTTGCGTGACACACCGAACAGTCAGATTTCATCGCGAGGACGGTGCAACTGCGCCATATTTATTCAGTCATCTATCTATTGATGAGTTCAGACATAAAATATATGTACATAAAATTCAAATTGTAAACCCGTAAACTCTCGTCCCTGACATTGGGAGACGTGACGTCGTGAAGACAACGGACAGCGCAGTGTGACTTACGTCATAACCAGGATGACGTCATGGTAGAAAAAACATGGGTAATCCAACAAGCAACATGTTTGCCGGGGACTAAAATAATATGAGCGAACAGCGTAAAAAATCGCATAACTATCAGAATCCTGGAAATTGGTACAAGGGGCGGCGCAATGCAATAAGTAAGGATGTGGCACGGAAAAGGAAACAATCACAAAGCAAAAAGAACCACCATTTTCACCTGTCAGTGGTGAATTACGATAGCAACGCAACAAGCAAAGGCGAAGGTTTAAAAAATTTGCCGAGATCATCTACTCACAGCGAGAAATCAAATGCAGAATTGACGTCCTCTCAAATTGCAGGTAGTAATTTAAAATTATTTTGAATTTATTTTGTCAAAATGGTTAGAGACAATCTCATCTAAGGCGCCCATGCCGCCCACGTTATAGAGATTATAGTCGCTACACGACACTAAGAAGTGACGTGCGCTAAGAAAGACATTAACGTCTGTCACTGATAGACATTCAAATAAACAGATTATGTCACATTAAAAAAGACTGAATTCTTCTCGTAGAATGATTGTTACACGTACCCTGTATTACTATTTACATGTATCAAAGTCGAACGATTTTTCTTTAGCATCTTTCATTCTCGTTGTAGTTATAACACACATTGAAATGACAGTTGTTGAATTAACAATGAAGTAAACTTAATCCACGCTTCAGCGTTCCGAGAGATATTTGATCTATTTGACAGCAATGGAGGAGGAACCATCGATGCCGAGGAGTTCGACAAGACCCTGCGTTCTGTTGGGGTTGCCCTGTCTCACGATGAGATCAGAGAAATTATGTGCAAAATAGACAAGGACCGTACGTAATAAAGCCATGTTAATTTGGCAATACTATACCACTGTAAAAGAAGCAAAGATTTGTTAATAAAAGTAAGGAAATAGTCTGCAGATAACATTGCCAAGTTAATACTCTCTCTCTCTCTCTCTATCTCTCTCTTTTGTCACATTTCTTTATTTCGTTCCACTGCTTCTTTCCTGATTCCTTGTAGAGAGCGGTGAAATAGACTTTGAAGAGTTCCTAGAAATCATGACAAGCACGGAACAATTTTTGGAGGCCTTTGGTAAACTTTATATCTTTTATGACATTTTGTAGTGTTAAAACATCACATGCATTCAGATCAAAGTAATTCGTAATGGAACATAGTGCGCAATTTATTGTTAAGGAAAACAGGTACATGTAATGTGTTGGATGACTTTATATACATTGTGCATATCATTTATATACATTGTGCATATCAAATGGAGGTGTTGCTTTGGAATTTTCACTCCAATTAGAAAAGAACATCATTGTTATTAAAATGTTTTAGCAAGATTATTTTTATGCTATAGCAAATAACCACGCAGACGAAAAGGAGAGTCGAGGGTCTGACGTCCTGTACGATGCGCTGACAAGATTTCTTAAATCTTGTGCTTTGGCAAATATGGATGAAATTGTGGGGTATGACACTCTCTCTCTCTCTCTCTCTCTCTCTCTCTCTCTCATTAACAATATCTCTCTCATAACACAATATGTTGCAATTGAAACAAATTCTGAATATGCAAAATAAAAGTATTTGAGCGTATGCTTACAAATGTGTGCGTGCGTGCATCTAATGATTTTTTTTCCCTGACAACAGATTTGACGTGTATTGTTTTATTGTCCGTCAGTTTCTACCACACGACATACAAGCACGTCCAGGCTCCCCATGTGGTCGGATATTATGCAGCAGGCGCCAGAGTGATTGGGCTTAACGAGAAGGAACTGGTCCAGCATTTCGAGAACATTAGGGCTCACAACGCAGGTTAACAATAATATTTGCCCCCCCCCCCCCCCAACACATCTCAATATTTACTCTAATCCTCACAATCAAAGTTTTCCCAAAAATTGTTGCTGTATAAAATTTAATGTTTTCATCTACAAATAAAGTTGCCACTGAATGAGTCATGACATATTCTTACAGAACACTTTTAAATTCACAGCATATGGTGAGAAGTACGAGAAGAGCCCGTATGCCCAACAACCCCACGTGATACCTTCAGGCAGAACAAGCTACAAGCATAACATGGCGCGCAACACCAAGAAGAACAGGAAAAGAGGGAAAATCAAGATAAAGGTTTTACTGAAGCATCCTGAGGCGGAACAGAGCCCTGACATGGGGAGACTCTCCGACTCCTTCCCAAGGGTGTCTTGCATAGGCCAGAGACAGGAAAATATGCCACACGAAAGAGATGTAATTTTGTATCTTTCTATTCTTTTTTTTTTTCAATTTAACTTTAAATTCTGATATTTTGACAGACCACAAATGTAAAACGCTAATTACCATCCACCCGTCACATATCCACTTTTCTCACCAATTCTCTTTTTTTCATTCAATTTTTTAAAATAATTCGTGCATGAATAACAGAAACCGTGTATAATACAGTAACTTTTATTCTGTTGGTCACATTGTAGTACCTTCGGCCACTGGACCCCCGGAACCGTCGCAATGGGTGGATGACACATCGCTTGAAGCACACATGGGTTCGTCTACCAGGGATCCATCTGAAAGATACCAGAAGATTTGATACTCTCACAGCCGAAGATTTACCAAATATCAGAACAAGCGTAAGTTTTAAAATGGTTATTTAAACTTGTGTATAATGGGAATTTTAAGACAACTTTCTACGTCTTTTATTGTTTCTATTATATATCCACTAGATTCAGTACCTGAACTTGTGAAGTCTTATTAAAGAAAAAAAAACTTCAGTTATTGAATATGGTGCCGTAGCAATCGGGATGAAAAATCATCTCTGTTTCTGAATTACAAAGAAATAAATAACATAAGTGAAAATTAAAATCAATTGTTTAACCGTCAATTGAAACAAGGATATAAAACAAAAAGGAAGAGAAAAATTGTGACAGATAGTTTTGAGTACAGTCAAGGGAAATACGCGACAGAAAGTAAGAAAGTGCGTCGGTGTAAGTAACGGTTTTCTGGAATGGCACACCAATAGAGGGCGCTACAGTCTGACCACAGGGTCAACCAATAGTCTGTTACAAAATTATTGTATCGGACCTATACTTTAATTTTGTATACTACTTCAGAGGTCCCTGATATCAGACTGAACGAGGGCGCCTTGTCAGTTCATTTTCTTATCTCAACACGCGTTTCACGAATGAATGGTTGCTTAAACGTGACCACACTTAAAACAGGGAATTATATCGGATATTATTCCCTGCATAAAGCAAGCAAACCATTTATTGTTGAATTCTGCATTTACAGCAAATCCTCTTTTTCATTATTGCTACACCCCCGTTTTATATAAGCATTCATACTAATTAAAAAAACACTTTTGATATAAATCATATTTGTTTTCCTTTCCGAAATCACTACCGTGATGTTTATAATGTTATATCGGTGTCCAGTACAATGATATATTACAATTGTCCTATTGGAACACAGAATAATGTACGGTGCAGATATACCACAATTAACCATTTTAACATCTCAAATAAGAATGGCTTGTTGTTTATAGTTTTTTTTTCACTGAAACAATGGAAACTACATACTAATTGCAAAGTAAATACGAACTGTGGGTGGAAATAATGAATACACCTACCGGTACCCAAATAAATGTTATTAATTCCCAGTATTTTGAAGAAATTAATGTTCCAACACGCCTCCCTTAAATATTAACCACATGTATACCATTAAAAGCCAAAGTCTTGGCTGACATGTTGCTGCTATAATAAGTAAATTTAATGGTTTATCTATCAGGTTGCAGTTGCCAAAAAGGCATACCAGTCCCATTTGAGGGAAGAGCAGCAGTGTGAGACAATGCAGCACTGGAAGGCGCTGAAACCAACAGCGATACATTCGCGGATGTTACGTAACCATTTCCGCCAAGTTTTCTGCGCATACTCTGCTGTATAATTATGGCATTCATAAGAATATCACGTGGTTTTCACAAAAATCATATTTTATATTTTGCAAATGAGAGAATAAATAAGAATTACTGGAGAGCTTAAAATGCTAATATTTTGTTTCATTTGTATGTATGTTCTTTTGTTAGCTTTTATTGTAATTCTTGTCCCGTTTATTTATTTGCCGATGATAACTTCCAATAAGTCAAATTAGCATTGTGGTAACTTAGAAATAGGATAAACTATGAATCAGAAATGACTTTAATTTGTATTCTGAGTAATGCGACATGTATTTACCCGACCGCAACAGCAGGAAAGCCGAGTCTCCTGCATACAGTGAAATATGCCATATCTTTATGTCCAATATGCGATGATGCGTCATGACAATAATCGGTAAATAAAGATAATTTATTTATAGATATATGTTACTGAGATTGTTGATTCAATATGATATTGCCCGTACGGTAAGATTTATGACTGGCAATTCTTAAAGGAACATATAACGTTTTAATACTCATTGTCGCTTCACTATCCCATTAGAATAAGTATCGTGATAGAACGAGCGGAACATACCTCTCGCTTGATGATGTTTTGTCAAGAGATTGTGAATGGAATAGTCATTTCACAAACAAATGGGCTGCTCTAGACCATTACCATCGTCGTCATGGGTGAATCTGGGTAACGCTCCGTTATCTATACATTATACCACGATGTACTGTACACTATTTATCTCTAGCGATCGTTTAATTCGTGCCATTATTTGACGTGTGACAAATCAGAAGTAAAGTGCCGGACTAAAATACTTAAAATAATTGAAACGCACTTCAGTTAACTTCAGCTCAATAGGTTAAGATATATTTAGTATTATAGAGTTAGCCATGGAGCTGACTCTCAACAGGACAGTTGATAACAGATATTCACTTGAAATAAGAGACTGAAAGAATGTTTCAATACCTGTTCAGTCAGGGGAGAGATTAAACTCAAAAATGCCTGTAGGGACTGTATCAACCATCAATTTTAGATTATCCATGAGTTCAGTGTAATCATCAATGAAGCGTTTTCTGTGAGTAACGTGCTGACAACCCATAGCAGAACCAATGAGTGTTAACTAAGATAATGCTAGATAAGAGAATAGGGTTGCGTGCAGGTATGGGATGTGAAGAAATGTCAACTGCAAGACCTAGATGTTATGAAGTTGAGACAATCTAAACCCCCTCTTTTCCCTCTCCTCCACACACTTTCCTTTTCTCCTTTTTCTAACACGCCGTTGATTTTGAACACAGTAATGTGCGGATTCGAATATTGCATCAATTAATATTCATAGTCCATATAAACAACCAAAGAACACAACGCCTATGTGGGTTAATGATTCTATACTTAAAAGTTGGATGATTTTCCCGTTAGTTTCATCCTTTACTGTTCCTTACTCCCATTCTCACCTTCAGCCAGGCAATGAAGTAAAAGTCATTTTATGCGCTAGAATAACGACGTTTTATATTACTTGGAAGTTCCAGTATTTGATTTGCTACATGAACTATCAGTGAAGTAATTTGTTGACATAAACTTGTTCAGGGTGTTTAAAAAGTATAAATTGTTCAGCGTTTCAAAGCGGAACTGTCCTAACAGGTCTGTAATAATATTGAAACAAGGCACCTTCCACAATAGTCCTTTACAGTTAATTGCACGTCATAAAATTGAATCTTCGTTATTAGACATTTCCTTGGCTAGTTGCCATTTAGCATCTCAAAAGTTTGTTTTAGACGCTGGGTCAAAATGGCTATTCTGTGTACACATTGGAGTTTCTTAACTACCCGCGTCATCACAAAAAACACAAAAATTAAGGCATCCGTTCGCTGCATCCTGTTTTTTAACTGTCTGTCATTCTTTCAGACACATTCCTGAAGGACATGTTTAGCAAGTCATTAGACCAGAGCGTTGACGGATTCGTATTGTTGCGTCTCCATTTTTAAATATCAACCATCGATGCGTGAAAGTAGGTAACTGGATTAGTTTTTATCGGTCAGTTAATAGATATATTTCGTACCTTTGGCATGGAAGTAAATAAAACATGCCTGGAAAGACCATTATATTTTTGTCATTTTAGATGGCATTTATAAGTGAAACACCCTGCGAAGCATGCAATAGCCTTTATTTCAAGCTAGCTGATAAGATCCTTCTATTTTTTTCCGTTCCAACGGTTATTCCGAGCGCCTATTGATGAGCTTATGGCATTTTTAGCATCGTTTGCTAGTTGATAAATATATCAAGTCAACTGAATCTTGACTAAGCAATGATTTGGGCACTGAGATAAAAGGAAAATCTGAACATTTCGTAGGTGCGAATACAATTATCCGTCTTTCGTGAAGCCGTCACAAACTTATCACCCTGATTGGTTCTTTAAGTCTGAATAAATTAGGCGGGAAATCCACTTAATGAACAAATCGATCAGCCAGGGAAGGTCCTTTACGCGTTTTCTCTTTATAACTCGAGTCACTCTGGCAAAGAATCAGAAATGTAATTTTTCTGTTCACTGGCCGATAGTTGCTACGTCTCAATATCTTGATTTTGATCCAGCAGGCTTTTAATTTTAGTCAGAAAGTCGGAGACGCTTGATTGGAGTGGGTGGGTTATTTTCGTTTGATTGGCCAGTTACGCAGTGACAACCGTTGACATTCAGATATAAAACCAAGATTAGATTTCTATTAGGAGCACTAGCCGAAAGATCAACTTACGTTGGGCCCATGCAAGACAGGTAAGGTTTTTTCTTTTTGTTTTTAGGGTATCACATACACCAATGAACACAATAATAACGTAAACAAGGGACTCGTTTCCAAAGTAATTTTCTCGGAGAATAGGTATCAAAGGGAAGTTTTACATGTATCACAAGTTAAAGTTATGTTGACGTTAAAAAGGCAATTTTGCCCTGCGTATTGCAAACTTGTTTTGCCGTTCATTGGCACCTAATGAATGAGGCGTTTTATTTCTTTTCAAACTTATTTATGTGATGATTCCCGCACTGCCGTTTATAGAATCTCACGATTGACTTCTCTCAAGAGAAAGGCATGTGGCAGCATCCCCAGGGGAATCATTGACGTTGTATCGGTCATATTTGTAAGGCAATCCCAGTTTCTCCCCCTCTTACTGTCAGATTAATGCTTTCGAACGAGTTCCTTCTTCTGCCAACAGTGAGCACGCTAGTTGACAGCAGGGTTCCCACCACTACGGTTCGTAAACCGAGTAGATTCATCGCTTATCGTGTTTACAGCATAGGACTACACATGTAATCACATGGGATTGATAGAAGAATTCTCATAAATGAGCGGAGTTGGCAATGTTGAAAAAAAAAATGACTCAGTCAGGAAGTCAATGACTGAAATCCGTAGTTCACTCCTAGCTTAAAGCTAAGCTTATACATGGTATTTGCGATAAAGCAGTGGTTTAATAAGGACGTTTTATCAATATACTTTTGTCCATTTTAACTGTTTTTCCTAAATTAGTGATTGTTTTGTTACGCTAGCAGACCCACCTCTTTAATGATAATTTGGAAACTAAATTTCGTATTGCTCTCAGTTAGTTAAAGTTATTTTGTTTTATAATCAAATTTGCGTTATTATAGAAGTAGCACAATTAACGGAGTCTAGACGGGGGATGATAAGCACTTGCTTTAATGCTAATTATTGATACCAATATTGATTGACTGACATGTAAGTTTAATGTTTTCATAATGTTAAGTTCAGTATCATTTGGTTACATTACTATATCAAAAAAATAAAAAAAAACTGACAATATGACCAAGAAACGCATATGTAATAAACACATACATCTGTAGATTTCGAAGCGATTCTGTGTCGTAGGAAATATCTTTTGGCAAAAAAGAATAAATAGAAACAAAGAAACCCCCCAAAAAATGAAAGAAAAGCTATAATAAAAAAGATTTTGTCTCTGTTCACAGGAAGAATGAATCCTATAATTGCTTCAAAACAATCACGCTTTTTTGTCCTTGATGCATTCAGCATTATGATATGTGTCATGTGTGAGGGAACAAGAGGTAAAAAAAGCTCTAACAGGTACATGATTGTTATTGTACCTTCCATTTTCGAAAATATTTTTTAATAAACAATAACTTAAAGTCTTTGTGACTCCCTGTTCTTACAGGGACATGATTACTATTGTGTCTACCTTTTTCGGAGAAATAAAAAGAAACCAATTGCTAAGTCTTTGCGACTCCCATGTTAATTAAGGTACTTGTCCTTTAATCAAAGTGTTCCGCCAATTTACCGTTCAATATGTTAACAACACCGGTGTAATCAACAGGAATTGTTTTCAGTTCTCTGGGGGACAAAATATCCGTCAAAACCTGACAAGGTCAGACATGGAATGAATTAATAACTAATTATTAGCTACTTGACTTACTTGTATAATGGGCAAGCCACACGGAGTGTCTTAATTACATACTTATACTGTTTTTGGTGCCACGTACTTATTCCTGTGACAAGAAAACGGCATTTGTATCATAGATAATGATACGGTGATCCTTGTCAAATGTTGGAAAAGCTGACATAATATTGAATAATTGACGAAATTGGATACGAGTTCTAATCATATTTTTTCCTTTGCCTCTTTCATTCTTGTATGGTATATCTATTTTAGCATATCAGATAAAACTCAAAGAAGTGACATGCCCTCCTTTCTCGCCACACGCCTTCTCGTAAATGTATGTATTTGGATGCAGATAACAGGGTTATTTCCAGACAACACATTACTTTTGAAAGCGTCACCTATGAAACTTTCAGTGAAATGAAAATATTAATTAATGAGATGCCTTAATGGGGCACCCATCATAGATATGAAGTAGTACTGCAGGAGCACGCATGAGATAGGAAATAGTGGGCAATATCCGGAAATGTCGCCATTAAATTGACGCGAAAGATTAAATCCCGCCTTGCCTGCAGGAGCTGAATAAAACCCCACGCTTTTTAGGGCAGAACAAAGAACTATCCCCTGGGGTTTTAGACTTTTCTGTAGTACTTCCCGACTAAAGCATGTTGTAAGGGAATTTTTAAAAAGATGCTATTTTTACGTACTTAACCGACCTAATTTATTTAATAAACCGCATTTCTAGTTCAGTTGTTACGGCTTAAACAGTACTAGAACAGCTTTCGTGATCAGCAGATAGCAAAATGATTTATTTCTGACTATGGATACCAGTTCTTATTCCACTGTTGGGACGGCGTTGTTATTGCGTTAAATCGCGCCCAGTTTGACTGTATTCTTATGGAAAGGAATACAGTCAA